AAAGAACTTAGAAATGCTACTTCATAGAACGAGACTAGCCCTATATGCATCATGTTGATCTTATTCAAAACTATAGGTTGAAAATTTGAGTTAGCCGAACTTGGAGCAGTTAGAAGTGACGGGTGAAGAATTTTGGCTGTTAACAAGAAGCATTTGGAAGATTGCGGTTCGAAAATGTAACCATCAGAAAGTGAAGGAAAAGCTGCATCGACTGCATGTTTGAATAAATCCATGTCTTTATGTAATTTCTATAATTGTTCGGAAGAATGGATTGAACTTTCGGGACAACCTACCTATTTGCTGCGGCGCGGCTCACGCTTTCTAATTATTTGTATCCAAATCGAATAAAACATTTGGATATATTTGCATTCGAAAAAAACTCGGTGTTTCCCATTTTTGAATAAAGTTCAAAAACTCGAGTAGCCAAAAACGAACAAATTTATTCGAAAGTTTTTTTTTTCGAATGTTTTATTTAAATCCGTTCGAACTCCGTTTGAGTTATCAAACTCGTCGCTCAGAGAATTATATCAATTGCTTTCTCTTTCGCTCAACAAGGGGAAGTAAATGTGACGTTTTGCTATGTTTAGACTTGAGCTACGGGGGAGGGGATATGTGAGGGCGCTAATTATAGATAAAAATCTACTTTATCAATTTGCCGACTTCTGGAAAACTTTTAGTCAAGGAGCTGGGTACACGTGGGTGAGTGGCTGATCATGAATTAGTTGGCTTTAGCCGAGTAGGTCGAATCAGTTTTTAGATATTTTGCTCCAGACATTATAATATTCGAATATTTATTCGAAATCAGACTCTCAGTGTCCAGATATAATCGATATTCATTCATTCAATATTTGTTTTTGAATTTTATTCGGGGTTTGGAAATTTCCAACTCGAATCTATTCAATAATCCTTTATTCGAATTTTCATACTTTCGAATTTATTCGATATCCATTTATTCGACGAGAAATCTCGAAATTCCCTAAGTATACTCTCTAATGACCAGTTTTGAGAGGAAGAATTTTTGGAGTAGAGATAATTGCAGGGATCAATGTGTCATCTTCATCACTGTCCAAACTCCGTTACTTTCCCACTCTCACAATATACAGGGTGCCCCAAAAACATGTGCACACTGTTAGACCGTTAATAATTTTTCGCAACAATGTCTTTTGCCCGTTTTAGGTATCTAGCATTCTCTAGAGTTAGTCTACAACTTACAATTAGCTTTACAGTAATAGAGCGAATCATTGATCGCTTTTCGTTTCTGTACGATTACGGTAGGAACTTCCAGCATGCAAAACCAACTTGAATTAGGCCGACCAACAAAATTCATCTCAAAAATCTGAGTTGTGTAGGAGTTCTCACACATGCTTATTTCGATACAACCTTTTATGACTTTTCTGAGCCTTCCTAATAGTAGTTATAAGCTACTGCATGACGAAGGCGCGATATCTTGGCGCGAACGCGGCTTTATTAGCCGCAGAGCGCACAAGGCGCAAGGTTTGCGGTGAAGATATGCGCGCGCCGCATTCGCTCCCGCTCAATTAATGTTGCTTCTGAGCTTTCGTCCTGCAATAGCCTTTACATCTCTGGGAACCAATAAAAGACAGTCATCATATACCTGGAATAACTTTAAAAAAAAGAACTGCAATAAAACTCAAATTTCGCATTCAGAATCAGCGGTTTGATTAGTTCTGTATTGAAGTTTTTGTCTTGTATGGTTTTCCTTGGCCAAAATATGGCTCTCAATGGCCTAAAATCTTCTTGCAATCCTTACCGTGATCCTATACTAATGAAGAGCGATCGGTGATTCGCCCATAATGTAAATCTCAGTTTAATCTCGCTCTATGGGTTGCTACCTAAAGCTCGCAGACATAAAAGCAAGATAGTTGTTAATGAACAGACAGTATGCACTTTTCTGGGGCATTCTGTATATCAAGAGATAATACAACCACCGATACAACAGGGCTTATACTTTGTTCAAAATTTTTTCAAGTCTTTTTTGCATCATGTTAGCGAATTTACATTGATGAATTTATTGCAAAAGCATTCGTATGAACTTCGAGTTGTACGAATTTTTCGAGCTGAAGATTTGCTAGCTTACAGACTATTCATGGAAGAAGTTTAATGCGATTCATAATGAAGTGTAAACGAAACTTGTAACAATAAGTTAGACGATTAGATTGTTAAGGTTTTGAGCATTTTGAAAGCTAGAGAGCATCAAGAAAATCACTAAAAATGTAGAGTAGGATAAAAACATGAAATATCTTTTGTGACCATTATAAAGAGTTGCCAAGAGACTACATATCTAGAAAAAATTCTTCTTTACGAAGGCTTGAGATAGGAACTATATGAACGGGCTTGCAAACACAGGATGTTGTGTTCCTTCGAGGTTTTGTTGACGATTGGCCGAGTGAACAATACGTTCCGACCAGCACCTCCGATTTCTTATGCAAATTTCTAAATAGCTGCGCCACATGAACGGCAAAATCCGAACGGTAAACAAATGAGTGCCGGAAATTTGAGTCGCCATCGGCCGACGAACGCCGAACGATCAGAGGTCGATTCCAGCCCAACTTTCATGAATTCAGCTTAGACAACAAAATGGAGGCACAGATAATAGCTTCAATATCACTGTGTAAAAAACGAGCTCCTATTGATTGCACATGAGTTCCATGTCTGATAGTTTCTGCTGAATGACCTTTTCATCCGGTAGGCAGATCAGTTTGACGAATTAAGGCGGACTTTTCTTTGTAATCCGAATTTTTCGAGTGCTATAGTAAAGCATTTATGGATGAAAATAAACTGCTGAGTATGAAGGTCCATATAATGCAGCTGCGATGCGCAAATCATTTACGCGTGTACGCGTCGACTTCGGTTTACGCGCAAGTGCTGTGGACACCGCAACAAAACTACATAAATCGTCAAATCAAGTAGCATATATAACTACAACCTCAGTATCGTAAAATTATCTAATACAAGCTCGTACAATATATTTTAATCTGCGGCCGTGAACGAGAGAAAAATATGGATTGCATGAACAATTTATCTACCAACTTTGTAGATAATCGTAAAGGACGAAAACGTCATCATGCAATCCCACTACCATGAATTTTTAGATTTACAATTTTTGCAACTTGCTTCGCTAGTTTCGACTTGAAACTAATAATTTCCTTATCAAGGGTAACTTTATTGTCCTAAATATGATCTAATCCAGAACCGGGGGGTGCGAGCCGACCAAAAAAAATGTAATTAGCGCATTCTCTATTACCTTTACATTCTCCAACGAGAGAAAAAGTAGCAATCAGATGTTGTCCTACGTATTGTCACTAACGGAAATATAAACTACTGAAAGTTTCTTATTGTTGTTACATCAGCTAGCTTCTCCTGGAAAACTTTTCAACATTCCAGCTGACAGCACGCCGAAAACAGTCATTTTTTATTCATTAGCAAAATGATTTAGTGACTAACAAAAGTAAGTCCCCTTCTGTCGAATTAGCTGCAGGTTTACCAAACTTGGGCGAGTAACGAGTCCATGGTTCGCGAACTCAAAAATATGCAAATATCGACTCATTTTCAAAAATGGGACACTTCCGCAAGGTATTTTGACTCTGAAAACAGTTCCTGCAAACATAAAAACATGTCATTTTGCAATGAAGTTATTTTCATGACTGATTCAAAACTAAATATTTCGAAGAACGTCAATTATGTCACCAATGTTATGTCCTGGTTAATGTTTATAGCAAAAACTAAGCATATAAGACGATATAGGTGAAGGTAAACACATCGTATACTATCAGATTCCTGTCGCTAAAAATGCTGAAAGGACCAAGAATGTGATTTCAGTTCTCATTATGATTTTTACGGCCTACCATTTCAACTAGAAAAACCTCGTCCTGATCGGATGCTTTTACGAATGGTTATAATATTCGATCACTTTTATTCGACTTAAACTTGTTTTCGACACTAAAGCCATGTATTGCATGTGAGGAAAAAAGTGGAATACAAGTTCCTATAAAACTGCCACGATTTTCAGAAAGGATGTACTCACTCACAAACATTATGAGCCATCCTCATCAAGTACTGGAGCCAGGAGGATACTTCAGTAGAGAAGGTGAAATTTGCAGGAAAAATATGCCGAGGCATCTTGCCGTGCTCGCTTTCCTCGGGAAAAACAGATTTTAGCAAATAACATTTAGAATTCACCAGTTTATTGGCCCTACAGAAAGTCATAAGCTCGGTAATGAAAGCAAAAGACAAATAAATAGGTCCAATGTCAAAATATTTGTCAGGTGTGGCACGCAGTAACAACCACGAAATTGCAAATTTCGTCTCTGTGTAATGTTGAGTGGAACATCAGCTGCAATTTTCGCTATGGTGCATGGGAATTTGTACACTTTAAAGTTCATATCCGTATATTGTTGATGAACATGTACATGTTGGGCTTCTCATCACAAACGTTAATCATTTCGCGTATAAGCTGAGAAAATACCTAATAGATGCCCTCCCGCTAAAAAAAACCTTTGGCAGTACAGGTATCAAACGCAGTGTCGCTTTCATCAGCATCACCCTCCCGCGCTGGACTCTGCGTCTCTTCCGCGAACATGCTCTCTGATCGCTTTCCCGGGGGAGCGCGGGAAAGGCGGAGCCTCAATCGATTGGAAGTGATTAGAGAGCATGTTCGCGGAAGAGACGCAGAATCCAGCGCGGGAGTGGAGATGCTGATGCAAGCAACACTGCGTTTGATAAGCCCTGTATAAGCTGCTGCATGACGAAGGCAATCTCTTTGATCGCGAACGCGGCTTTATTAGCCACAGGGCGCAAGAGGCGCAGAATTTACAACGATGAGGATATGCGCGCGCTCGTTCGCGCCCTCTTGTTTAGTTCTGCTTCTGCCGACGCCATAACGTAATTCAGCCAATGCAACAGCAGCGCTCCTAACGCAATGTTACTTATGGCATCGAGTTATGTACATATCTGTCCCACCCCCACCACCCCCTGCTTTTGCCACCGAGACTCTTTAACAAGGGGGAGTTTTGTGGGCTTCAGGATATCGCGGCGTGCGCGGCAAGGCGGCCACCGAGCGCGGCGTGCCTCCTGATGTGCAGCCTTCTTTGTCGAACCCCAGCCATCACGGCAATAGTAATGTGCAGTTGTACAACTAATTTTTGAGATGGATAGACTGCATATGGTGGCAGATAGAACTCTGAAGGCAGCGTCCAGGTAATAATTGTCCCAGTACTGTAGTTAGCGGACGACTTGCATCGACTTACAGGGTTTTGCACAGCGAATTCACACAGCAGCGGGTCCAGTAATCCTGTAAGAAATGAAATCTTAGGTGTTTGGAAAGTTCTCCATTTTTTTCCTTCCTCTCTTGAATTCATTTACATCAGTTTCTAAAGTCATCTACTATAGAAGAAAAGATCTACCTTAGAAAGAAGTTGAGATAATAACTGTGCAGTAGTGCTGGTGGTAGACATTTTTAAATGAAGAGCACACGCATTGCGAGTGCCAAAACGCTGCCTTTGAACACAAAATGGTACAAAACTTCATTGAACAGTTATATTTCTGAAAACTCTACTCCGCAGAGCTTCATCCTTCGTAGTCCCGTTTATCCTGCAAAGACAGTTTGAAGTATTAACCGAGGTCGTACACAAACATTTAAGCCAATAAGAGCTGAATGAGAAGTGTCGGAGTTGACTAATCAACATGCTGCGCAACTGACCTGTATACATAACCTTCTTTGCCTATGGCTGAAGTAATGGCACATATAGTCTTCACGTCATCAATTCCACTGTGGAGGCGACCCTGCAGAAAAGGCAACGTTTTCGTTGAGGGAACAAAGAAGTAAAATTTACCGCGTGCTGTAGACCGTAAGCATTGAGTAAATCCCTCAGACCCTTTGCAAATGTTCCCGTGTGGTCACAGTACGACTTCTTCACATTGATCCATTGGCGCAGATATCTAAAAGTTGCTCAACCAGATCAAGTTATCAATTCTCAGTAAAATGTACTTACTGAGGAACTTCAAATCTTTTATTCTTTGCTTCGGATGGTAGCATAACACCGAGGTCCCAATCTCCACATGTGATAAAGGCTGTGCGAGAGCTTAGCATTCCTTCCTAGGGCCAAGGTCCTAGTAGTTGACCATTGAGAAAACAAGCAATGCTTACATGTTTCATCCAAAGGTGGAACCGTTGCAGAACTTCGTCGATGGTAGGTTGGTTATCAACCATTTCCTGAGATATATTGATTTAGAGTTAGATTCACATCATAATGAAACATACCCTCCCCCCCCCTCTCCCTCACCCCCATGACCATATCGCGTAAGGATCTTAGCGATTTTAAGACCCTGTTTTCGCATTTGAGTCGAAAGGGAAAGCTTATATGCAATCGATACTAGCGTGCCAACAGAAATAGCAACAAAGCAGTGATTTGCTCGCTCTTGTGCTATTTGTGTGTCCATAATTCAGTTATCAATTTACAAAGACGTATCAGCTGATTGTGAGAGTGATTACTAAACACATCTGCACCTAGGTATCAAAGCACGCTATTACTGTTATTCAGATAGGAGATTCCGCAACAAGACTGAGCTAGATTTCGCAGATTTCAGCCGCATATAGCGGTTGAAATCTGCGAAATCCAACGAAAGACAAAATCATGAGAAAACAAGCAGTACTACGTCAGTGTGACATCATTATACCTTTGTTTCTTAACGTATGAAGGAACACTGGCAACGATGCTGCGGTGGGACAGGTTGATAAAAACATGAAGAAACACCAAAAACTTCAGGTGAGTATAAACGTAACGTAAATGTTGATATGCTTTGATACAAGCCAAATATCGAATCGCCTTAAAGATTCTGGTAGATTGACGCACAAGAAGAGAAGCAATATAGTAGATTAAGAAAATGAGAAAAAATTCCACCAATTAGGGATAGTTCAAAGTGACCAACCTGGATTATACCGGTAAGATGTGTGCAGAACGAAGTTATGATGGGATTTGCTGTAGGCCTTACGTACTGGTGAAAATACGAGCTTACAGTCCACGTTTTTGCATCCAATTTTGCCACAGGAAATTCGATGATCTCCTAAATGACTACTATTCTTTCAATTAGCTAGCAGCGGTGTTTGAAAAACAAAATCGAATGGACAGTATTCAAAACGATAACATACAGGATAGGGCAGAATTGGTCCATCGTCTGTGCAAGTGGCTTCAAAATCCAGCACCAAGAAATGATCGAAGTGTTGCGGCAACATAATGTTATCTAAAGTTGAAGAGGATTTGGAGTTTGGAGGGTTTCTAGAAACGGATCTGGTTTGGGATGCGACAGTGAAATGCGGCAACACTTTGTAATGACAAGAGCTGAAATCCAAAATGCTGAATGGGTAAAAATTATCTCTAACCACTATCCCTGAACCAAGACCTTGACTCGCAAACTGTTCTTGTTGTGCACTGCCTACCTCCCGGAGCAAAAAAAGACCGGTATCTACGGAAAATGGGAGCAGAGACATAAGAGTTCTTTCATACTACGCCGCAGGACGCAGCAGCCTGCCGCAGCACGCGGCAGCATGCCGCGTCCTGCGGCGTGCGCCGCTGCAGTCGCAGTGAAAATATAGGCTCGCTCGCTGTGTAGGAACCTCTCGGAGAATACGAACGTGCAGCAAATATAGTAAATCCATAACCGGCAAAGTTGTGCTGCCGTTAGCGTATATTTTCATTGCGGCTTCAGCGGCGCACGCCGCAGGACGCGGCGTAGTATGAAGGAACCCTAAGGAGGCAGACTCAAGTATATGGAAATTTATCGCGCGCATTGAGGATTTGGGTGGACGGTGCCTTAAAGGCAGCGTCCAGACAGAAGGACCTATGGCGACTTTACGTAGACAGTAATTTTGGGGTCTAACTAAGGCACTGCCCGAGCGGCAATGCAGGTGACTCACTAACGGCTGAGATGTACGCCTCCAAACTGGACCCCAGGATCGCATTCGCATGGATTTATAGCAGTTTCGCGCGAAGACCCACGCGTTACGCCATGAATCCATGCGAAATACGATCCTGGAGTCCAGTTTCGAGAGGAATATCTCACCCGTTAGAGCACTAACTGAGCTGCCGTTTGAGCAGTGGCTTGGTTAGGGCTCCAAAATTACTATCCATGTAAAATCCCCATGTCTCCAGACTTGCCTGGACGCTGCCTTTAATCAGCGTACGTCATTATTTTCCAGAAAGGAACCTACTAGCCTAGTTTTGACGACACTCAAAGGCACAAAACATGGATGACGCGGACTGTTTTCTGCAAAAAAAAAAACAGAAAAGGTAAATGCCCAATTTCGAAGGATGCATATCTATTTCTACTTACCTCGGTGAGTTGCTGATGGAATGACAGTCCGCGATGGTTCTCGTCTTGATATTGTTTGTACGGCCAAGGCTTCTCGTTTGTTGACAAATGGAGTTTTCCTGGGACCCTAAATAATACCGTAGAAAAATCTAGAACGCATTTGTGCGCTTCGTTAGGAGAAACGTGCCTTTTTGCAACTGCTCGTAGTGGCGAAAAGAAAATATGGACACCGATACAGGCTTGCTGAGGTCAGAAGAGACGAGAGTGTGTGAGAACACAACACACTCATTGCACAAGCTTTGCTTCCATCCACAGCACAATGGAATGATGAATGGGAAAGGAGTCGCAAGAGGGCAAGGGAAGATTGAGTTTGGCGCAGAGAAGGAAGCAGTGGTGTGATTGCAGACCTTTAGTGAATCGCACGACAGGACGACAGGTGGATAACCAATCGGTGGCCACTCGAGTCTGGTTCTGCCCAAAAGATCACGGAGATAGATACACAAAAAAATGGGCTGAGTTAAATAATCGCAGTTCTGCTTCTTGAACATAAAGTGGACGATGTTCTATGAGGCAACCTCTATGCATATTGACATAGTAATTTTGGGGCTGGCTTAGCTTTTATCAATTTTTCATCAGAAATTCCCCAAAATACTATAGGCCGTCTGCGCTGCGCGGAGAGCAACGCTGTTGCGTACACTAGAGGCAGTTCAACACTGGAAGATGCGCAGAGAAAACAGGCGGCGAGAGTGCACGAGGAAAGAGGAGTGACGCGCAACACATCTTGCGCACTCTCTTGCGCGGACGGCCTATGCAAATTTTCTGCTAAGGAGGTGATCAAGAAGGGAAGGATACTTGGTCGAAGTGGTGTTTCATGAAATTCGTCTATCTTATGGAGCATTTAATGCTGTTTGAACCTGCTTTCGGTTTCAAAGCGCTTTTGAGAGGGGCATTGATGCAGAAATTCGAGCACGCCACTTCGACAAAATCGTTTAGAACCGGAGTCCGTGAGATTAAATAGTCATGGTTACTGCCAGGACGCTTTGTGCAATATATCTCACAATTTTTGAATGAACTGAATGAGTGTGTGGTTGACTTCGGGGTCAAAATCGTAGAGTTCCGCAGAAACCTGCGTCTCAGCCTTGGCGGGGACCGTCGAATTTCAAACTGTAAGGCTTTGGAAAACGTATGTTCTTGCCGTTTTTGCACCATCTAATGTGGATTTTCGGATTCAACGTTGCGAATAACTTTCGGTAAGTGCACTTTCTAGAAATCGAGTTTTTGCCCGGAAACTGCCCTAAAGGCAGTGTCCGGGCAAGAACTCGATTTCGAAATTTTGTGCTTACCTGGGCCTATTCGCTACGCTGAATCCGAAAATCAACACTGAAGAGCGCGAAAACGGTGAAAAAAGGCTCTAACGGAGGAGGGAAGTTGCAGGTGGGCGGGGCTGTTCACATAGTGGCGTCACTCTCCCAGGCTTCAGGAGCGATCTTCTCGGTTCCGATTTTATGTCATGCGTTTCGCAGTCGGCTTGTGGTGATGTTAGGGCGATTAGCGTGAGCGAGAAGATCGCTCTTGAAGCTGGGAGAGTGATGCCACTATGTGAACAGCCCCGCCCACCTGCAATTTTCCTCCTCCGTTAAAGTTTTCTTTTGCCGTTTCTGCGCTCTCCAGTGTTGATTTTCGGATTCAGCATAGCGAATAGGCCCAGGTAAGCACGAAACCTCGAAATCGACTTTTTGCTTGGACACTGCCTTCAACGGCCCGTCCACCCGAAACAGGGTCGATGAGATTTTGATGCCTAACAGTAGTGGGGCCCCCAACTGTATACTTATACAATTGCGCTGGCAAAAGTTGCTCCCGAAGAAAGAAAATTGCTTCGAAAATCGCTCGAATGACGGATTCGCCACGTTCCTCCTCCCCTTTGAGTGGGCGTGACGTTCGTCCCGCCCAACCAATCACCGTTCCGAAGAATCGCTCTGTGGGTTCTGAAAACGGGGGTTTTTCGTGGTATTCTCGGATTTTCGACTTGATATTCGGAATCAGAGGTATGAGAAGGCCATGGAACGCAAAAAACATGGAGATCGAAATTTTGGGTGGACGGTGCCTTTAAAGCTCGCCCGCTTAACACATACGACGCAATTCAGACCTTAGCGCTCGACAAATAAACCGATAGAATACTAAGCGATCAATCTCTATTTATATAAAACTCAAAGTGTGTTTGTCTGTTAATAAGTATGTTTTTTATACAAATCTTTCTGAGTGGACTAAATGAGCTGAAACTTTGCACACTCATGTTTTGGACCCCGGCGCAGAACATAGGTTACTTTTCGCGGCGATTTACTAGATCCTTCTATTAATTTGTTGATTTGTTTACTTACATCTGGGAAAATGAGGCTTGACATGCTCAAACCAATCATTTTGCCTTGATCATGTAGTCAGGGGATGGTAAAGCTCATTTTAATCTCAATGTCGGAAAGATGCGGGCAATTCGTTTCAAAGCCCTTTTTGTGCAGAAGAAGCCCAAAAGCGTAAGTATCAGTAACTTCTTCTTGGCTAAACTGGAGTCCCGAGTGAAACCGGGACCGCCGGCTAGTCTAATGAATAAAGAAACAACCACACATGCCAATGTGCGAACCACAAGGCTAAAGGATATCCGTCGACGACAGCCCCGTTTCGTGCATTAAGGGATCGGCCATACTATTCCTGCTATTCCTACGATTCCTGCGATTCCTGCGATTCCTGTGAGTCCCGCACAGTTTATACGCCGCTTAAAGGCAGCGTCCGGGCAAAAAGTCGATTTTGAGATTTTGTGCTTACCCGGGCCTATTCGCTATGCTGAATCCGACAATCACCACTAGAGGGCGCGAAAACGGCGAAAAAGGGGTCTAACGCAGGAGGAAAATCAGCAAGGGCGGAGCGTCCGAGAGGGTGGATTCTCGCTCCCAGCTTCCGGAGCAATCTTCTCGGTTCCTTTAGTCGCCCTAACATCGCTACCGGCCAAGTACAAACGAGTGATTTGAGATCGGAACCGAGAAGATTGCTCCGGAAGCTGGAAGCGAGAATCCACCCTCTCGGACGCTCCGCCCCTGCTGATTTTCCTCCTGCGTTAGACCCCTTTTTTGCCGTTTTCGCGCCCTCTAGTGGTGATTTTCGGATTCAGCATAGCGAATAGGCCCGGGTAAGCACAAAATCTCAAAATCGACTTTTTGCCCGGACGCTGCCTTTAAATGAGCGCGTGCTGCGTAAAACAACACGTAACACGCAACACGCGCTCATTCAAGCGGCGTATACACTGTGCGGGACTCACAGGAATCGCAGGAATCGCAGGAATCGTAGGAATAGCAGGAATAGTATGGCCGATCCCTTACACCAACGCGGGCGTGCCTTTTTGAAGCCTTTCCAGCTTTACAGTAGGCTGCAGCTCGCGGGATATTCGCAGCTTACAGCATGCCCATCCTTTAACTTCTTTTTGTTGTTTGAGTATTTCACATCGTTTTTCTCCTAAATTTTCATTTTAGGCAGCTACACATTCTCATACACGCAAAAACATTGCTCAGGAAAGAATCGGAAGGAATGATGAGTTTTCTTCAATGTTGCAATGGCGGATATCGTGGCTATGATTGGGAGCGCAATGTTCTCTTTGGCGTTTCATAATTGCATTTTTTTCTTAAGAGAGACTGCTGAAGTGGCTGTTTCAGCACTTCTACATCAAGGAGACATGTAGGTGTGCTAAATAAACATTTCAGCGATCTCATTTGAGGAGAAGGCATGATAGCCATCACTGCTCATAAAGAAAGCACATTCTTTCTCCTAACATGCCGGGACGATAGTTTAATTTAGTTTAGTTTAGTTCGAGATTCTGAAAATGTTTGTATGGTACGTAAAAAGGAGCATGAATTCAATAACTGTACCAAAACTTCTTTTCCTGCTCTTTCAGTACCCATCACAGCAGAACTTGTAGGATGCTCGACCGAGACAACTCAAAGAAAAGGAGAACGAGTAACTGATGAGCAAGTGCCTGAACTGAAGATTAAAAAGGAAAAAAAAGATGAGAAATGCGGAAGAGGTTAAAGGACAGGGATGCTGCGAGCTGCGAATTCCCTGCGCGCTGTAGCTACTGTAAAGCTGGAACGGCTTCAAAAAAGCACGCCCGCGGTGGTGTAAATGCACGAAACGGGGCTGTCGTCAATGAATATCCTTTACTACTACTGAACCAGAGACCACATTGAACGAGGGCCCCAGGCCGCGCCACCGATGTTGTGCGCGTAACACACCTCGGATATGTTCCGAAGCTCCAAACAAATCCGCCACCCTCGCCAAGAACTACACGATACAACAGCTTCCCCGCTCCCAATGTTTTCAAAATAATAGTAGTTGCAAACCCTAAGAGCTCAAGTCTGGTTTGGCTCAAAATAGTCCAAAAATCAATCCGAACTGAGATCCTAGTTTGATCTTAATTTGCTCAAATTTCAAAGTGTGAGAGAAACCTCGTGGAACCCCTGTCAGGCGCGGGCACAAAAGATAATAATAAAAAATATCGAAAATGAAAGCGGACAGATGCCGGACGCACCGCGGGTGGAGGAACGAACACCCCTATTCGGTAACGCCTCCGCGGCCGCTCTTCCGCACACGCCGCGCTCAAACCTTGGGGCCTTCAAGACTCTCCGCCAATAGAGATTCTGGCTGCAAAAACAGGGGGATGAGGGTGAGGGCAGATATATGACTTAATGCTGTAAGTAAGACTGCGCCAGAAGCGCTGCTATTGTAAGGAAGCACGTTGCGGCGTCGCTTCGCGAGAAGTTCGCACCTCCTGACGGTCCCCGGGCAGCTGCAAGGACCATGGTCCTTTCGTCCTACTGTTATGCATCGTGTTGGGACCAATAGTCCGCAGAGGCGGTGCCTAATTGAGGTGTTCGTTCTTCCACTCCGACCAATTTGCGGAATGGTTATCTTATCGTAATCATAGACATCAAATGATACGGCCAACCATTGCTATATAAAGAAAAGGGTGAGTTAACATTCATTTTCATTTCCAGTTCGACCATGGAGTTCGCGTTTGTACTAATGGTGCTGGCCTGCAACTACATTGAGGGCAATCTCGTTGGAAGGAACAGTAGTGACCACACTGAAGTTACAGAGGAGAATGCGACGAACGCAACGACTTCGGCGCACTTCGCAGCTGTCACCCCTCTTGAGAGAAGGATGCTTGATGGAAGTGCAGGTAAAGTCGCCTGGACGAAATCGCCCGGGTTTTTGTAGGCTGAACGCCCGCGAGCGTGCCTGCAACGCGGCTGCTGAGTACGGGCGCTATGATGACTCATGCGCGCGAATGTCAATGTTAGCCCGCAAGAGACACGCGCGCAGGTGCTCATTCCGGGCGATTCCGTGCAGTCAACTATAGCAAGACTAGTGGAGAGAAGGTTGAAATCTAAACTTCTTTTTCAGCTTTTCGAAGGCCTACTGAGCATGAAATGCAGCCTATGATAAAGAATGCTAGAAAGGAAAATATGGATCGTGCTCGTAGAGACGAACCCTTGCTCGCTCCTGAAATTGTCTGGAATAATGTGGATCAATCTGGGAGCACGAATGAGGATGAAAATATGAATGTAGATACAAATAAGGATCAAGTTGAAGTTGATTTCGGAGAATCATATCATCGACGTTCTAAAGATGATGATGATGTCTATGAATATTTTAATGACGATAACGATGACTCTATGCGCAACGAAAACGAAGTGAACGACGACGTCTCTGGCAACTACGAATCTCAAAATGAACGAGTGCGTTCATATGGTCTTGTAAATTCGGATGGAGACGATGTTACCAGTGAGGATGAAGACGCAGTTTTCTATAATAGACCACTTAATGAGGGTACAGATTCCCGTGAAGGACCACTTGATGACTTCCGTAGCAACTACGAATCTCAAAATGAACGAGTGCGTTCATATGGTCTTGTAAATTCGGATGGAGACGATGTTACCAGTGCGAATGAAGACGCAGTTTTCTATAACAGACCAGTTAGTGGGGGTACAGATTCCCGTGAAAGACGCAACTACGATTCTCAAAATGAACCAGTGCGTGCATATGGTATGCGTGTATCTGGTATTGAAAATGGGGACGGAGACGATGATACCAGTAAGGATGATGATGATGGTGAACCACTTGATGACGATACAGGTTCCTATGATGGACCACTTGATGAAGGCGTCGATGATTTTAGTAGCAAAGCCAATACCGTAGGTCACCACCTACTGCAATATAGGGTCCTCGAGTGCATATTCCATTTAGGTTCATTTGCACTTCACTGCCATGTCCCCCAAATCTAGAGCTATCGTTAGTAGAATGCTTTCGCTTCTCAGCGAAGAGGTATGGTACAAAAATAGCATTGAGAAAATAAATTATCTTTTTAGGTGGGAAAATTTGAGGGTGGATCATCCGGCTTTGGCTCTAATGATGCTGAATCCGATGTACGCAAGAAAGCTCCATGTACCAGAAAACATTTGCATCTTGCGGTTGAAGAGTTGAAATGGGGATGTCGTGGTGTCATGGGTAAGATCTCAAACTGAGCTTCACTGAGCCTCCAAACTTATCCCAAGTCGAGTTTCAGAGTTTTACGACAAGGTATGCAAGAAAGATTACGCTAACTGTATCCGTAGAAGGAAAAAACGAAGATGTATACCGCAGTGAGTGCTTCACCATTAATGTGGAAACAATAATGATAAAAGCTTTTGCTTTAAGACTGTGTAACTGGGCCAGACGACGAACCAATAAATACTGTTACCTAGAAGTTTTCGGCTGTAATTAAGTCAATCACAATAAAGATCAATTACGTTGTTGATAACCAGAGAGCTACGTGAATGTAATGATTCATCGATATGTCGTGCATAGATATATAGCATTAAAGATACAGTCTTTTTCAACCGAATGGCCTTTGGCTGAAGCTTTTCTTAAGGGGGAGGGTCGTCATTGTAGCAGGCCTTATACGAGAGTGGGGCGTTAGGCGATAAGTTCTATATCTGAGGGTCACAGTAACGCTTTCGCCAACATTCGGCGTTGGCTTCGCTGGCGAGAAATTCAAGAAAGTGAGGAGATGCAGATTGGGCTGAAAAACGACGTGATGTACTGTCGTTATTATGAGATGCCAATTGCAAGGTGGACTCGCGTCATTTCTTATCGTCCCTTTCTTGTTTCTGCGTCTTGACTAGATTGAAGGGAACTGTAGGTTTTGCCCCTACAGTTCCCTTTAATCTAGTCAAGACTGCAGAAACAAGAAAGGGGTGATAAGAAATGACGCGAGTCCACCTTGCAACTGGCAGCAGGAAGACCCACGATCCTTGCGAGCACGCCCACTCACTTTGCACTGTTACTGTCCAATACGATTATACATGTTGGCACAATACTGAATTTGGGAGCATAGCGGGGAAAATGCGGGCTTTGCAGACTTCTGATAACATGCAGTCGCGTAGATTTATCGGTATATCGCTTATACGGGGCCGAGATTTGCGAAATTTGCGCTTGAAAAGATATCCGGCGTTATGCCAGAAAATGCTGGCGTTTTGCGCGCGCAAACTGCCCGCATCGCTACCATGGTTACAGTAAATTGTAAATTTCAACTCAGTTTGGGTGGAGATTGGGCGGGAGTCCGCCTCGCAACGATTCGCGCGTTCCGCAGCTACAATATATCAAGCGCAAGTCCGTCCCACGTCTGCGTCACCTCAGACTCCTCAGTCTTTGCTTGGCAAAATCAGCGATGCGCACGCACTGCTTCACTCTAGAGGCTTTACCTCATCCGGGTTGAAAAAACACACTGTACTTGTTCGCGTTCAGATTCTACCGAAAAATTTCAGCACCGAAAGGGATCCCCTATGTTTACAAACAAATCTACCTGGTGTATCCTCAGACAGCCGGGGCAGGCGGGCACCGGAAAAATAGATGGCTGATTTCTCGCACAGCGCTCGCGGATTTTTTGTGAAGCAATCAGGACTTTTCGGAACGTCGCTTGCTGAATTCTCGATTCCTCAGAGATTCAGCAATATATCTGCAAAAGATAAGAGCGAAAAAAGATTCAACAGGCGGTCTCTCAAAAACTCGCTGACCATTTTCCTGGATTTTACGAGCGGGATGCGAAATTTCAGCAACGCGTATTTTCCGGTGCCCGCCTGCCCCCGGCAATTGTCTCAGCCGCGGCAATCGTTACTGAGACAGTACTAAGAGCAGTACTCTAGGTTAGACGCACACAAGTTCGCTGAAATCTAAAATGTCTGCAATACACCGCCCGCTAGAATTCTGAGAGTCGCTATTATTCGCTTCAGACGATGATGATTCTCCTTTGACTACAGCAAGGCGTCCACCTTCTCTCTTTCAATATTTGTGATTCAGGATAGTTCAAGCAGCACGGGAATCCGAAAAAAAAAACCACTCTCTGGTTTCTTCGACAAGTGCTAACAAAACAGGCCTCGTCAGATAGAAGCAAGACGCATTCTGATCAAGCGCTTCCATCCCAGCCAGCCCTTTGCATCATGCTTCGCACATTAAAAACTACCTCCTGACGGGCATTGTCATGGGAGACAGTCGAATACGGAGAACGAAGGCCGAGCAGGAGGTGTGACACATACCCAAGCAAGGCCCCGCTTTGTGTCTCTTATCACAATAGGGCCCCATTGAAATTCCGCTTGCTTACCACAGTTAGAGGAATAGGCCCTACCAAGCATCATGAATTCCATTAGCATGTCATCTAGTCCCAGTAGAAGAACTTTCACATCCTAAAGTTTTTTCAATTACTGATAACCTAGGTGAATGGTCATCTTGACATAGTCAACTTCTAAAATAAGTCACCTACCTCAATAAACACTCAGTGGGAAGGTGTTCCAGTGAAGTGGCCTTTCTAGATAAGATTTACACCATTATGAAGACCTTCAAGCGCTGATTCCAAACGTGTTTTCTTATGAGTTGAACGATTCCGGATGCTGAGTTAAGTTTTATTTGCAGCAAAAAATGTACGCAGAATCTATTTGAAGCAACTGTTATGATTGCTCCAGCGCTCAAATAGAGCAATGTTGAATATGAATATATCAGAAATATTATTTGTTCACAGTATCCTTGTATTTAACACTGAATTCAAGCATTGGATGATTTAGGCATTGCTCAACTTATTGCTCAACTCAATTTGAGTTCACCTCATCAACCCGAAAACGCTCAAATTCTAACGCTGGCGGAGCATTCTTGCAAAATAACATGTACTGAGTGCTCGTATTATTTATCACTCTTGTAACATATGTGTAATTTTTATGCATACAAAGAATACATTAGTGAAATAGAAAAGCTGCTACGTGTGCTACATAAATCGGCTCACAACTTTTAGTTTTTTTTATGAATCTCAACAAGTTCCAAAGCCCTTGAATCTAAGGGGACCTATGGGATTGTAAGAGAATGTATGATCTATGTTTTAGAGCCCAGTAACATGCTAAAATAGTTTGGCAAGAAGATAAAGATGCCTTTGAGCTACCAAAACGGGGTGAGAAGAAATTTATCAAAGTCAACAATTTAAAAAAGGCTTAGCAAAATGTATAGAATGACTTTTAACTTTCGCATGGTTCGTCATCAACATAAATTTTTAAGCCAAAATCTAGAACTATATAATTACCCTAAAATCGATTCCCGCAGTGAGAAAACTCAAGCGCCTCCATGTAAGCCGTACGTGCTTATAGACTGACTAGCTGGCTTACCCGGCTCCGCCGTATCCGGACCAAACTTGGCACACATACACTTCGGGCCCCGGCGGGTGTCACAGTCCACTTTTCGTTATCGATCGATGTCGATTTTACCGATTTTTATCGATTTTTTTGCAGAGTTCACCTACAGGGCTAGGAGTTGGCACAGGGGGGGAAGTGAGCATGGGGATTCCGAATACAATATTAGTTTTCAGAATTATCAATTACTTTTATTGATTTTATCGATTTTTTGTAAATTTTGACATGCGAGGCTGGGATTTTGCACAGGGGGGTAATCGAGCATGCTGATTACGAACACAATATTAGTTTTCAGGATCGTCCATTACTTTTATCGATTTTATCGATTTTTTTTGTAAAGTTTGACCTGCGGGGCTGGGATTTGGCTCAGGGGGGTAATCGAGCATGCAGATTACGAATACAATATTAGTTTTCAAGATCGTCCATTACTTGTACCGATTTTATCGATTTTTTGAAAATTTGAGCTAAGGGGCTGGAATTTGGCACAGGGGTGTAATCGAGCATGCTGATCACCCCCCTTGGGAGTAATCAGCATGCTCGACTACCCCCCTGTGCCAACTCCCAGCCCCCTAGCTCAAACTTTGCAAAAAAATCGATAAAATCGATAAAAGTAATCGATAATCCCGAAAACCAATATTGTATTCGGAATCCCCATGCTCGATTACCCCCCTGTGCGAACTCCCAGCCCCGTAGCTCAAACTTTGCAAAAAAATCGATAAAATCGATAAAAGTAATCGATAATCCTGAAAACCAATATTGTATTCGGAATCCCCATGCTCGATTACCCCCCTGTGCCAACTCCCAGCCCCGTAGCTCAAACTTTGCAAAAAAATCGATAAAATCGATAAAAGTAATCGATAATCCTGAAAACCAATATTGTATTCGGAATCCCCATGCTCGATTACCCCCCTGTGCCAACTCCCAGCCCCGTAGGTGAACTCAGCAAAAAAATCGATAAAAATCGATAAAATCGATATCGATCGATGACGAAAAGTAGCCTTATGACACCCGCCGGGGCCCGTAGTGTATGTGTGCCAAGTTTGGTCCGCATCGGTTCAGAAATGGAATTTTCTATTCGGAACATACGTACACACAGACATACAGACAGACAGACAGACAGACATACAGACAGACAAACAGACATTCAGCTTTATATATAAGATTATGATATCATTAGATGCACTTGGTATTAATTAATGGGTGAAAACTGAGAAAAAAGGATGGCAGGAATTTGGCAATTTTGTAATTGTGTTCACAATCATATGTTTTTACATATGCAGAGTGCTCAGTCTGCGTAGTTTGATAGTGAAACTCTTGAGGTGTCTTAATCAAACTCACCGTTTTTTTTGTTGCTGTAAGATATGATAGAAACTTAAAGGATTTGAGTTGTGAGGTCCATGTTTTGGGTTCAGAAAGGAAAGCAAACAAGATTAAAACTATTAGGCTAAGCTAATCAGGGTTAATTCTGAATATAAATTTGCACTCTAGTGTAACTTCTTCCATAAGTCATCCAGGTATGCCGTGATTACTGTTTTCTTAAGGTTCTTCTGGATTATGCATACAGCACTTCAAAACCCCGACAGAGTTCTGAAAAAATTAACACGTTGACGAGGAGCCAATTTTTTTTTGAGGTCTGTCACTGTGGACGAGACGTTTCCGTGCATCCCTACGCCTGGCCGCATGTATGTATGCATGCATCCATGCACGAAATATAAGTTTTGCAAGCCAGCCTCATGTGGCAAGCTCCACCTTAGGCTGAAAATGACGAAAATTGCCCAAATTTTAAGAATTCATGCGAATTCCGCCACTTTTGAAAAGTGGACGGAGCTTGCCACTTAAGGGCGGAGTTTGCCTGACGGTGGGCGCTACGGCCTCATCCATGCTTTTTTGAACAAAAAGGGTCCTTGTGAGGAGCTTAGGGGTAGGCGGAGCTAAAGGGGCGGGGCTAGCCTATAAAGTACATCTGGACCTATGTTGATTACATGAAGAAAACTGAGAGGAACGAACCGATAGTATTGAAATTAACACATTGACGACAATGTGACCCATATGGTGAGTCATGCAGTGACCGTGGTTTTGGAAGTTCTACTATGCACTATTCCTAGGAATTACTTCGTTTCTGAGCTGCTTCTCAAAATCACTGTAGGGATACTGCAGATGACGACCTGTTTGATTTCAGCTAAAAATACTCAACTTACTGTAAATGGGACTGTCCCACAAGGCAGACAGCTAAAAATGCACGCTGTCGTCAACGTGTTAAAGCCGCGGCGCACCATTGCGCGGCGTCGTCCAGAGGGACAGACTGCCTGCCGCGCACCATTGCGCGGCACTGTCGTCAACATGTTAAAGGCACTGTCCACCCTAAGTTGAGGGTGTTGAGCTTTTGACAGTATATAACAGTAGGGCCTCCTATCATGCCAGTGCTCAAGTCGCGGCACAAAACGCCGCTTCTGAAGCGAGAAAATCGCTTCGGTATAGCGAAGATGCACGAGGACCCCCATCCATGCCCGCCCCTCCCCATCCATGCCCGCCCATTTGTGCGCGCTCATCCGATCATCGTTCTGGAAAGCCGGCCTGACGGTTCTCCGGAATGGGGATTTTCGGAATTTTCGCGAATTCTCGACTTCATATTCGGAATCAGGGATATGAGAAAGCCCTGAAACGACAAAAACCTGGAAGTCGAGAATCTGGGTGGACGGTGCCTTTAAAGGCAGCGTCCAGGGGCGGTATGTGACAATCGCCCGTCCGGGTAAGTTACCCGGACAGACAGTTTCCGCTTCATAGCTCTGGGAATCTGTGTTCTTCCTTGTTTGTTCATCTATTGGAGGCTCTACTACCCTAATATTGTAGCACAATGACTAGCAGCACTTTGCTGTATAAGCTGAAATAATTCGTTATTTGTATGATCCCGAACGGGATCTCCCGCTGATCACGCTCATTTTCAAAGTTATTTATATTCGCAAAAACTCAATGAAAACGTCACATAGTTTTGCTTTCGATCTATTGCGACAGTGCTACGCATGTTTTTAGTAGCACAGATGAAATGTGCAAGTTCTGAGTTTTTCGATAAAGCCCAATTTGCGAGCACAGATTCAGCGAAGATTTTGTCAACTTGATTTTTCACTTATTTCTTTCACAAACATGCGTAGCACTGTTAAATGGACAGCAAAACTCTGTGACGTTTTCCTTGAGTTTTTGCGGATATAAATAATTTTGAAAAAGAGCGTGATCAGTGGGAGATCCCGTTCGGGATGATACAAATAACGAATTATCTCAGCTTTTACAGCAAAGTGCTGCTAATCATTGTGCAACATTATTAGGGTAGTAGAGCCTCCCAAAGATGAACAAACAAGGAAGAACACAGATCCCCATAGCACCGAGCTGTGAAGCGGAAACTACCTGTCCGGGTAACTTACCCGGACGGGCGATTGTTGAATATCGCCCCAGGCAAGACCCATCCACCCAGATTAGCACATAGTTGCAAAGAGGGGTCCATGAGTACTCGATCTGCGTTGGTCCGATCTTGACGTGGCCTCTAAAAGGAGATTATCACAAACCACCTCTGAGGACGAGTGCTCACGCAGGTGTGCAGTTGCATTGCAGTTGCATTGCACACTGCAATGCAACTGCAATGCTGGCATGCGATGGGGAAGAGCAATCCGAAACTCGTCCGCTCCATGAAGAGAGGGTCCCCAAGGATCGGGTTTTTGGGAATTTTGAACAATTTGGACTTCACAACTGTAACCAGGGCCACGGAAAGGCCCCAGAATGGCAGAAACATGAGAGGCGAAATTTTGCCCGGACCTGCCTTCAAGAAGGAAACAGCGTGCACGTTATATTGTTCTGCGAGCTAAATTACTTCACTATATAAAGTCTTGGCAAAATTCGGAAAGTCCGAATCCGTGAAGATAAGAATGTAAGGTCGACCAGGAGGTCGTAGGAAGATTGGGGAGGCCAGGGGGAGATTGTACTTGAAAACACAAGCTGTTCAAGAGGCTGATAAAATCCTCAAATTCACTAACGTGAAGAAGGAAAATGCTAAATCGGCAAATGTCATTTTTTATCGAACGGCATTCCACAATTGGTTATTCAAATAGAGCTTGGTTTGTAACAGGTGAGCTTCTTCTCTTGCAAAAGTGGAGCTCTTGGAGGTTCATCAGAACACATAGACATGTGTCCTGATGTCATAATACGGTGATACAAGATAGACTTCAACACGAGATAGTTCGACACCATCCCACATTTTTGTGCGAGCCCATGACACTTACCTCCCGCAGGGTATGCATTTTTGTAGTCATTCATACTTCCACTGCTTAAGACCAGTAAAATGGTGATCTAAGCGAATAATTCATATGAAGTGACTTTTGCCTCGCATGAAATTACGATAGCATATGTCTGTAAGATAACAGAAAAATTGATAGACCTTGTTTAGAAGAGGATGAAGCTGTCGTCCGTGAATATGGGAGCAATTGGCACAAGATTTGCTCTGAACTCCCAAGCAAAGGTGCAATGTTTTTTGTTGAAGAAAACCCAAAAATTTGCCTCGAATCTTTTGCTTTCGAGTGTTTTGCAAGAGACTGCTGCAAATAATGACTAAATCGAAACTGCCATTGCTTTAAAGCATTCGAAGCTTTAATTGATATGCACCATATTATTCACCATATGTAATAAATGCATTTGCCATGGCAGAACTCATGAGGAAAGAATACTTGGTTGAAATGGCGTTTGCAAATGAGCTGTACACTGCTTTATGGAGCTTGGAACGCTGATTCCAAATCTGCTTTTGGTATCTGCAAAGCGCTTTTGAGGAGGAAGTTATGGGAATCTTTTGAAGCGAAAATGAGTAGGCGCGGTTACACAAAAATTATTAGGAACTGTAGTCTATGAGCTTAATTGGGACCATGTTTACAGCCAAAACGTATTATGCAACCAACACCTTTAGTATAATAAGCTCATGCTAGTTACTATTCCTTTCCAGCGCGGAAAAGAAGCTCTACACTGTAATTATCTTAACCAAATCCTAAATTTTTGCCTTAAAATATACGATGGTTCACATTTCACATGAAAACCACTCCAACCAAGTATCTTTCCCTTGTAAGAGTATATCTGCACTTTCATACCTTTATCGCATCCCGATAATTTACGACAGCGGTACAAAACTCGTTTCAGCGATCTTGTTGACTTTGAAATATAGCAAAGCGAATTATCTCGCTAATTACCATGGACTAGTGCTTGGTGGATGATGCATGGACTAGGTTTGAAAAAGGATAGATAATCAGTCAGGTTCTGTGTTTTTTTTAGTGATAAATTGCCCAAGCTTATTGGGTAATGCAAGAGATTCCTTCATAATCTTAACACTTTCGAAGTCCCTACTTATCTGTTCTTGTGTCTCTTCCTTTGAGCACATTTTTTCAGAGTAAATATCGACATTGACTTGCCTAATTGAACTGGTTTACTTCACTGAGGATATGATTTAACTTTCAAATCTATATGCAACATTTTTTTTCATGAATTCGCAAACCATGAGCACTTGTTTTCGTGGAAGACCCAAATAGAAAACATTCATTTCGCATCAATACATTGCATTAGATTCAGCAAATTTCTCGATGAAAAGAATTCTCGTATTTAAGTGCACTGTGAATAACAAGTATGCCTTTCAGCTCTTATAAAAGCATCCGTGAAGGTGATGCTAACAGACAACTCTAGAATGTTGGCTTCGCTTCTACTGGTAAGTTTAGAATTGTGCTAATTTGCGTTTGGTGTTGGTGTTCCGGATCAATGACTATTGGTGGCATTATTATTATTAAGTTGGTGCAAAAGTAATGCGCATTTTTCTAGCCCTTGTTTTAGGACAACTTTTCTCCATCAAACTTTCTTTTCATCAAGAAGCTCCTTTCAACCTCTATACAATGGCTGTTAGAACGGACTTCTAGCTTCGTTAGTTAATTATTAGAGCTTCACACAACCGCACTCGAAGCCAGAATTTCATTGCATTCACTTTTCTGGCCAGAAATCAAGTTCGAATAAAGGCAAACTTTTGAAACTCTAGTTACTGTATTTAATGGAAATTGTCTACATTACGCACATTTTTCTCAGAAATTACCTAGTCTGAGATCTCGGCGCCTCAACATGGGCAGTCGTTTTGATCATTCTGTGCCCCATAAATTTCCTTTGAAGGAGGCAATCGCCAAAACTTGACTCATTTCTGTAAGTAAGGGTTGGCCTCCTACTGACAGTTTCTAAAAGAATTGTGTAGCTGTTCATTACGCAGAAAATCAGAAAAACTCCATATTTTGGGATTTTTAGGCCTGCGGAAAAATGTCCAATAGCGGACAATTTTGGATTTTGATTGTTTTCTTTTCGCAAACCCTCGTTTGAGCCATTTTCAAATTTTTTGTACTGCTGGCTTCCGGCTACAATATAGTCTGCTTATTATCTACATTAACAAATTTTGAAGAAATTATGATCAGTAAAAGACGAAATTTCGAAAAAAAACTTTTATGCTTATCAATCCAATTTTTCTGCCCGTTAGTGATATGAGTATAGGGAGATGTGCGCTGTCTTGCGAAAGGTTTGGTGCCTTTAATGTTTTTTACCGCATGGAAAAATATAGATTTTTTAGAAAATTACAACACGTCAAAGTGAGAACTAGGAAAAGCGCATTACGCAACGACCTAATAAATGAATCCAGGAGGGCGTGGGTCAATTTTTGTGTGTAATAGTACTGTAATACAAATTTATATAATACATGCGTCTCAAAAAGACTGATTTTTCGTGCTAACATATCGCGAAAGCTACCACGGGATACTATAATGTATTTCATATTCGTGTTTTCTGTGCCTCTGCAAGCAAACTTTACCGCGCCCCGCTGGGTTTTTTTTACTGATCACCACAAAATCTGAATTTATTCTAATGCATTCCATACCTCTGCAGCATAGGCCACTCATTCCGAACACAAATTCTGACCAGCTCAACAAGATGGATCGTGTTGTCCAAATTTACATACATCTAGGACGCTCCGAAAACTAAGCAAACTTGACAAGGTTGTCTGAAGCTTTAAAGGCACCGTCCACCCAAAATGGAGGTTGGCGAGATTATGATGGCATACTAGTGTGGGCCCCCACACTAGGCAAATCCGCAAGCTTTGCCGCAGAAGACTGCTCCTGGAATTCGGAATCAGGGCTTTCAGAAGGTCTGAAGGCGACAAAAACATTGAATTCGAGATTTTGGGTGGGCGGTGCCTTCAATGAGAGATGAAGTAGATGAGATTGCAAAAGTGCCTCCACTCCTCAAAAAAAAACATAAAACCTTGCACGTAACATCATACGCGATCGATAAGATATTGATGATATTGATATTGATGAGTTTCTTGTTGAGGACATTTTTGAAAAGAAGTTTCCAGGTGGGCCTGTATATGGGTCTGTATCAAGCTGCGACCAGGTATGTTTTATCCCGCGATGTTGCTTGTTCAAAATACACAACACCAACTTAGACAAAGTTTTGTTTTGCAGAATATAGCTGTTCTGGAACCACACTTGCAGCGGGCGAAAGGATTTTGATGGAAGCACTTCATGATATGAGAAGATTAGTACTAATAAATCGAGCTCAATTTCATGGACACAGCGAAGAATATTAAAAGGGTAGGGATTGCGTGCGAGCTTGAAAAAGTTGGCTTAGTGAGATTCTGGGTCCGCTGCGCTCTAAGCTATAAAACTGTCCTTCCGCTTGTACTGCGAAAATGGTTTATAGACTAGTCCGACTTGTGACAGGAATTTCTCCAAAGGCATGAAGGAAGATATTCGTCTTTTGCAAAATGGCGATTGAATTATAATTAGTTTCCACTCTTCTTTTCAATTGCACCTACACCATATTGCATATGGGGTGTAGGGCGATTCGCACGACCGTGATGCTTTCCACACAAAACCACCATCGCGCGTGAAAAGCCTACGGCAGCTTTTGTCTAAACAAATTACGGAAGAAGCGAAGATTTGCCGCCGCATCAAGTGTTGGGACAACACATCAGGTTGGTGCTGGAGACTGCACTACAAGACTACTTTTTTTCAATTGAACCTTCCATCATGTGACTCGTATTCAGACTGACGATGTTTTCCAGAAGAGAAGTTGCCAGCGGAATTGTCAATAATGGAATAAACGGCACAAAGCTACTGCAGGCGAGAAATATGAAAAAAATGGTATCTCTTTCGCATTTGAGGTTGCTGCTGGTCATATTTCGCACTTTGCAGAATTATGATTGTGCTTTGGAGGAAGATGCTCAGAAGGTGGCTGAGTCGTGTACACTTACCCAAACATCTGAAGATAAGCGTCCACTGTATGGGGAGAACATAGCCGTGATCGAACCCAAGGGCGCTACACTTAGCAATGGAGAACTACTAGCCAATGTAAGTTTCGAGCAGCTTTCTCAAGATGGATATCATACAGTGAAGCAGAATGAACAGAAGCATAACGCGTCGAAGTGCTCCAAGCGGGGCGGCTCGCAAGGACCTTAGCCGCGCGAATTTGAGACTTAAATTGGAAGCTCCTGTAAGCATGTGCGAAGCGACAAGTAGTCCAAGAAAACGGGGCCTATTGCTTCCACACTAATACCCTAATCACAGTCAATTACAGTTGTAGGTATTAATCTCGCGAAATCTCGTTATCTACATAGTCGTTTTTCATGCATAATGAGACTTAAAATTCTGAGAGTAAGATAAGCAGGATAGACCTCTTCGTGGTAAAAACATGATGACCATTTTAGCAGAAGTCCACATAGGCTTAAAGATTACAGTAAATGCTCTTCGAGTAACCTGCGAAGACAACGTCCACTCAGATTTTCGGGCTTTAGTTCTTCCCCCCTCTTCGATGTCCCGATTTCGAATAAATATGTTTTGAGGGACTGAAAATTCAAAAAAACTTTCCTGGGGACTCTCTTGAGATTATCAGTTCTGTCAGAACACTGGAACCTTTGAGAGTGCAAGCCACAAAGCTTACGAATGAGCAGACGTTAAAGATGCACAAGGTGTGAAAAGTGGAGCATGATTTTACTTCACCGCACATTCACGACAAGGCTGATTTTTCGATGATTGCCAGTTCGGACCAGAGCATATTTCGCAATATCGAGTTTGCGTAATGTTCTGACCATTAATGGGTCTTGTGGTCTGAAATGTTAATTTCTTGGATACTCCAAGGGATGTATGCAGAAGTAACATCAGTTTGCTCAAAAAGTTTCAATGTAAACTAGCAAAATGAAAAAGTTCAGAAACCTGATTTGCCGGTGGGTCGTATTGGTCGTGAATGTGTTAGCACCATCGGCCCATGCAAAAATTCAAATCGCGTCGAAAAAGAAACACAGCGTATGCAATTTGTGCTGTGGCCGGCACAGGGCCCGGCACGAGGTTTTGCAAATGACAGGCTGGAAATCGTTTTGAATGAAGGAAGGAAGGGGGTTATCGTTTTTGCGGGGTCCATACACTACCGTTTATGGCAGTTTGCAATTGGTAAAAATGGTTATTTGTGCTCCCTGCTTATCTTAACATGTTGTTGATGATTTCTGTATCATCAACCATTGATGAACTCTATATTCTAGATAGCCTACGGAATACCCGTAGGCTAAACTGTGAGCTACTCACTCTTGAGTATCTAATCACTCAAGAGTGAGTGGTACCCGTGCGCCAGGAGTGTAGCCAATCGGCGGCACCTCCTTTCAAGCACCAACTCGTGTACATTGTACCTTCTACTCGGTTCAGCTCCGCCTTCCTTCCTATATAAGGAGCCTCCGAATGTATTAGAGGTTGCTCCCCGGTCCACACCGGGACACCTCACACTCTTCTCGAATAATCTACGCCCGTGCGAATAAACCTTATTCCACAACTCGTCTACCCCCTAATCACTTGGTACCCACCAAATTGGTGCATCGGCCAGTGATTTTCCTTGCATTTCTCGGCGAATCCTCCTAAGGACACGAGAAATCAAGGCCTAAGACCCGCGTGACAGGCTCTACTATAGCCAATATTCGACTCTCGTGATTGCTGGTCCACCACTCTCACGATCAAGAGTCTTACTAAGTTGTCAGGTCCTATCCACAACTTAGTAGAGGTTTCTAGCTAACTGACTGGTTCACCACAGTTAGCGACAGACTCCTCGCACTCTCGGCTACTAATTAGCCAATAATCGACTCTAGTGATTGTAGGTCCACCACTTTCACTAATACAAGTCTTGCTAAGCTATCAGGTCATATCCATAGCTTAGCAGAGGTTTTCTAACTAACTGACTGGTTCACCACAGTTAGTACAAGAACTCCTCGAAACTTTTGGCTTTCCTAAAGTCAAAAAAGGACTCTGTGATTGCTGGTTCACCACTTTCACAAACAAGAGTCATCTTGCGAAGCTATCAGGTCATATCCATAGCCTAGCAAAGAGGTTTTTCTAGCTAACTGACTGGTCCACCACAGTTAGCAACAGAAATCCTCGAACTTTTTTGGCCTCAACCAGCCAAAAAGACTCTGGGATTGTTGGTTCACCACTTTCACAAACAAGAGTCATCTTGCGAAGCTATCAGGTCATATCCATAGCCTAGCAAAGAGGTTTTTCTAGCCAACTGACTGGTCCACCACAGTTAGCAACAGAAAGCCTCGAATTTTTTTGGCTTCCATTAGCCAAAACACTCTGTGATTGTTGGTTCATCCACTTTCACAACGAGTTTCATCTTGCGAAGCTATCAGGTCATATCCATAGCTTACCAAGGAGATTTTCTAGCTGACTGACTGGTCCATCCACAGTTAGCAAAGAAATCTCAACTTTCCAAGCTCATTCACGATTGGTTCACCGATCTTGAGCTTTGGATCGTTACATGTCCTTACCGTCCAGTACAGCGTACAAGCCAACCAGGCGCGCTTGCTGACAGCTAGTAGACGCTCGGCACCCACTTGCCAGCTCACTAGAAAGCTTCCTTGCAACCAGTAAGGACAGCTATCGTATCGAGGCCAGCCCTGCTGTCGTCCTCAAGCCAAAGCGATTAACACAAGGAGGATACACACTTCCAAATTGTAACGCTTGGAATTACCACACCAGCGCACGACTCTACCCAGTGCAGCAGAAAAGAAAATGGCATCGCTCCAGCTTTTCAAGATCAGGATTAACAACGCCTGCAAACTCGTGAAATCCCACGAGTCACAAATCGAAAATATTGATGTCCCCTTCACATTCCCCACACTGAAAGAAGAATGTGAACAGTACATAAAAGAGAAAACGGGACTGATAACCAATCTTCTCAACTCTCTACATAACGCAGTGAAGCTTCAAGAGACGCAGATCAACTCCGCGGTCGAGTACATCAGCGCACGGAATGAGGAGAAAGAAAGAGACAAACTGATGATGGAGCTCAGCAAGCACCTAGAGATGGAGTCACTTGACCTGGAAGTGATTGTAGTGCAGTGGCGGACAAGGATAGAGTTCAGGCAGCATGAATTGAAAGAACAAGACGCACTACTGCACTGCGATGCTCCGAGCATACCGTGTCAACCAAGTAGTGATAATGGACAAGCTTGGAATCCAGAACGTAATAAAAGGCAGATCAAAATTCGGAAACCTCTGCTGGAAATTCCTACGTTCTCAGGCAATTTCCGAGAATTTAATAGCTTCTGGACCGTCTTCGAATCTCTCATCCACACTGACGAGGAACTATCGGTTACAGACAAATTCCTGTTTCTGAAGCAAGCACTGAAGGGGAAAGCCGCAGACACCCTGAGCAGCATTCCCGTTATCGGAGAAAGATATCAAACAGCGATAGGTATCTTGAAGAAACATTTCGATCGCTCTGCCAACATGGCAGATATACTTATAAACGAGATCGAAAAACTACCCAGGGCCTCAGATGATCCGAGAAGTTGCCGAGAAACTTTCGAAGCAATCAACTCAAGGATCATTCACCTGGAGCAAACGGGAGCAAAGATGAACGCAGACAGACTTTGGCGTCGAATAATCTTTTCCAAATTTCCCGGATCCATCTGTAGGACCGCCATCCAGAAAGAAGCGGTACAAGATGAATCATTTAATGTTAACGAAATCCTGAACACCAACGACAGCATCATTTCACTGCGAGAGACAGTCTTGCTAACAACGGAAACTCTGTTTCCAACCAACTACCACCCAAACAACCAAGAAGATGGAAGGACTACCAGATGCGATAGAGAAAAACACTTTTCGAAACCAAAACATTTGTGTTTATGTGGACAACCACATTCTCCTCACACCTGTCAGAGGTACACCACACCAGAAGCCCGACGACTTGAAGCAGCAAATCAAGGAGTGTGTTGGAGATGTTTTGCAAGCGATCACAACTCTAACGCTTGCACGAATTTCGGTGTGTGCCCCAAATGCAAAGGATCACACCATGGATCTCTTTGCTTGTCAGACGCAGGAAAACGCAGAGGATTCTCGACACAATACCGAGATCCTGCACTTGATCAACATTCACCTGCTCCTTGGTCATCACGTGACATCAATCAGGATCGTCATGAGAAGAGTACTACGCACGTCGTACAAGGCTCACGACAAGAAGTCTACAATCCCGAAGTGCTTCCACTTGCACAGGATCAATGCATTCTTCAAATTGTTTCGGCAACTATATTCAACGAGACAGAATGGGATTACCAGCCAGCAACGATACTACTTGACTCCGGTGCACAACGAAGTTTCATCAAATCAGGATTTTGTGAAGAACTCAAGCTTCCTGTCCTTCGTACTACTTCGTTTACTACATCTGGAATGGGCGAACAACAAGAGCAATTCAACTCATCTGAAGTGCAAATCACCTTGAAAAGTCTTTACAGCTCCGACAAGCTCAAGAATTTGTCATTGCACACTAAGCAGAAGCTGACTACCGACATGCAGACAGCAAGTCTCACGGGAGCAGACTTGCCTTTCATCTCTAACAAGAAGCTGATTATCGCTCAAGATACGTTCTCCTCGAAAAGCGTCTCACCTGATCTGATCATAGGACAAGACCTCTTAAACCTTGTTACTCGCCACGACGACAGAGTGCATAAGCTTCCTTCGGGCCTCATTCTGACTCCAACCATCTTTGGATAGGTTATATCAGGAACGAGTGCCACTACCACTACATCAAGTTTTGTTGGCACATTCGGCTGCATATCAACGCTGAAGGAAACACTCAGGAACAACCGCCCAACACTTCCACAACACAACGAGAGATTGAAAAAATCCAAATCGCACTCTTATACAACAGTACGAACCGAACGGGCAACGAGCCATTATCGGCAAAGCAGGATGAAGGAACAATCCAAAGGAGAACGATTCTGTTACGAACAAAACTACGACCATGTTTTTCATCCAGCCGACAGTCCAGCTTCACAAGGCAAACAGTCACTGCCTCCATTCTCGCTGAAGCTCGTGCAGACAGACAACGTTGGTTGGCCACACTACGTTCCACAACGAACTCCAATGTTCGCACCCGATATCGGATAGAGTGGCTATCGCAGCGGTTCACAAATAATGAAGCCAAGATAAGGATGACGAATACACTGGAGAGAAGATTTCATGAGTGCAAACATCGCGCAAGCACGCCGTCTATCAAGGATATGGTCATCAATGGATCATCTACCATCGATTCAGTGTGGAAAAGGAGGAAATGGCGAGGACGACTAGCAGCGCTAAACCGTCAAACAGCTCCAGCGACCACTCCAGGATCTTTTCCCATTACCACTTTATCTAAATGATCGTAATCATGTGTATATGTTTGAATTACTTGCAACTCCTCCTTCATAGCTCATTCTTTAGTATGCGTAGGTATGAACTTATTTGCTAGTCAAATTCACATGTATCTGCTACTCTAATTAGGATCTTCCCAGATCTCACTTTCCTCTCCCTCGCCCGGAGTGTTGATGATTTCTGTATCATCAACCATTGATGAACTCTATATTCTAGATAGCCTACGGAATACCCGTAGGCTAAACTGTGAGCTACTCACTCTTGAGTATCTAATCACTCAAGAGTGAGGAGCCTCCGAATGTATTAGAGGTTGCTTCCTGGTCCACACCGGAACACCTCACACTCTTCTCGAATAATCTACGCCCGTGCGAATAAACCTTATTCCACAACTCGTCTACCCCCTAATCACTTGGTACCCACCAAACATGTTAAAGTGCCTCAACAGGCGCGCCGTGGAGTTCGTCAAACCGCGCTGCCGCTGACTGCCGCACGCGCAACATCGCTTGACCGATGCCTTTTGGAAAAACATACATGACTAGTTCTCAGTGCATGCGTATTTATATGGTACCAAATCTGGTAAGCGAACGAACGGAGGCTGGTGAAAACAAGTATGAAAAAATATGAAAAACTTATGTGAATGGAAGGTGTACTAAGCATTTTTTGAAAATTTCCCATAACGGGCGAATGTAGTTGTTAATTCAAATGCTCCTTTGCAGCGCACAGATGATGTTACGGTATGAAATTTGTTAGGTACATGAACACGGACCTGCAGGGCTTAACTTGGAAGGGTTTCATTGAAAAATTATGTGACTGAAGATTATGGCAAGCTTTTTTCTGAAAATTTTCCACTACCAAGAAAATGGGAAAAAGGCTCGTTTGCAGTCAGAGAAAACAAATTCGCGAGAGACTTGGTGTGTATACGCGCAGTAAAACTAAGGAACAATGTATGAAAAATTAGGAAAAACTTATGTGGATGAAGAGCGTGCGCAACTATTCTCCAAATTAGGTGGGCAATTGCCCACCTAAGGCCCACCTGAGGTAGACAAAACTTTCAAATCACGTAAGTTTTTTAAGATTTTCGAGTAAATATGTTGTACACCTAAAGTTTACTGTATGGTAGGATTTTGGTTCCGAAACTCCTCTTCTTGTCTTTGTTAAAGCCCACAATCGCATCCGCAGCCCAGCTTCTAAGGAGGGAAGCGCTATCCGGTCAATCAATACGCGGAAACGGCATCTTTCACTAATATAATTGCGTTATTTTGATATTTCTTGATTCCCTCATCATTTTTCTTGCTTATTCTCCTTCCTGTTTTCTGTCCTGGTAAAGGTGAGGAATAATTAGAAGAATTTAAGCGTTTTGGACGCTGTTAAGCGCTTTTAGGCGAATTCTGGCCGAGTTGCACAAGCACAAAGCATCGTTTCTGGGCTCAAAAGCATATTCGTGAACAATTTGGGGATTAAAGGGGAATTTGTTTTGAAAAACCCCATTTGCCCACTTCGTGGAGGGCCCTGGGCCGGTACTTTAGAATTCAGCGCCCACGCACACCAATCGGGATTTTTTTGCTTACCTATATTATCCGTCCCACTGACTTGGAAAAATTTTGGTGAGCGCAAGCGTGAGGCGCAACTTTTCGCATACTAACTATAAATTTGGACAAACAGCCGTCAAAGTTGAAGAGACATAATCGTTGTAGAGTTCTATGTCATGACTGTGCGCAACGTCGCACTCCAGGTTTGGTGGGAAATTAAAGAATGGACAATGTTCAAACTGTTTAGAAGCTGATCGTAGGTTTTTTAGAATCATTTTTCTGCTCTGACTACACTGGTCGCTCATTGTTAGATGGGAGGCACGCTAATGCACGATATGAAGAGTAGCACCCCCCTCCCTCCCCCCCCCCCCCCCAACCCCTCTTCCTCCACCTTGCTGGAACCTGGCTTAAATATGATCCAACAAGCGAAAGCGAATTTTGAACTGAGTGCATCTCAGTCATAACTTTTCTAAACGTTAGCGCGACTATGAGGACGACACATTATTTTATTAATTTTAGTTATTGCGAAATAGTATATAAGAACGCAAACGTAAAAAATGGTATATTTCCCCGTTGTATTAATTGGCCGATAATCAATGTTAAGCCCTGTTCCTGCCACCAACAAATTCATCGCGACGCAGTTTGTTCAACATGACAACTGTTGAACTTAATTCATGACGGAAAATCACGCACGTAGAGGTTATGCAAATAAATGCGCTACATTTGAAAAACAAAAGTCATACAACAGGTTGCATTACTTGTGTGCTAACCTGAATAGCATATCGGCCGCCGAAATCACTGAGGGATATCGCTGATTGCAGAGCTGTTCACAATCAAAGATGCGGAGGCTTTAGCTGCTTATCTCATGCAATTCATATTTTTCTGCTCTTGTGAGCTTCAAGAGATGCAAAATAAGTGAAGAAAAATGAAAGAAACTCCCTTCCCTTTTTGTCTTAGGCGGCTTGATTTGATGCTAACCTAATACATATCAATTTTTAGGCGGCCGATCAATGGTTCACGGAAATTTTGAGAAATGGCATGAATAAAGAAACGCACTTTATTCCTTATTTCAGAGACAAGCCCATTCCACCATGGTCACAGGTACGAAAGAGATCAATATTTTTATAATTTGTTATAGTTTGTGTGCTGTAGCAGAATCAAAGACATTTTTGACAGATGGTCTGGGCTGAATCGAACAAGATTGGCTGTGGCGTGAAAAACTGCTTTGGCGCTTTCTATTTTGTTGTGTGTCGTTACTCGCCAAAGTGCGTTTTCTCTCCTTTCAATGTTTTTAAAGTGTTTCATGTACTGTTGCAGAGGTAACGTTCTCTACGAGCACGTTTATACCACAGGAACGCCGTGCACTCAATGTGATAGCGGATGCTATGATGGCGTACTTTGCAAATAAAATGACACTTTAGCTTGAGCTTTTGTGTCTCCGAGTAAAGATTTTAGTCTTGAGCATTTTTGCGAGGGAGGCGCAGACTACGTCGCGGACTCGAGCAGTCTCCTCATGGGTCATGAAGCCCCGCCTTCCAGCAGCCAGTCTGGTTGAAGCAAAGAGTACGCTGCGTACGCATACGCCGCGTACTCCGCGCAATCTGACCCAAACCTAACGTTGAAGGCTAACCATATGATCCTATATCCCCATCGCTCGGTCTGTTAGACCGTGATAGAACTCATCACTCTTTTCGATTTGAACCATGAAACTGTCCCGATCGCCAAAAAGCGAACACAATCGTAAATTGTTAGAAGCGATTGATGATGTAAACAACATTAGTCTTCTTCATCCCTTCGCTGACAGAAATGATGGATTCTCTAGCGTTCAAATAATCCAAGCCAAAAGTTCCAAGACTTATGTAAACTTATGGACTTCTTGCTGCGAACCAACCCAGTTGTTTTGATATAACGGTCCATAAACCATTACCCGAGAACAGGTATCAGGACATATAAATTCCGAAATCTTCTACATGATATAAGTGAGTAATATTGTGTGCACATGGTAGGTGCAATATGAAACCAGCGGCCGTAACCAAGCAATTTGTTTGTGTTCGCAAATTTGGTAAAAATTGTGGTTGTGAGAAAGAAACTGCTGGAGCATGTCTGTCATATATCACTCAGGGTGAGCATTTTGGGGCCAGTGCATCCTCGAGTCATTCGTAACTTAAATTGTGAGCCTGGAGACTATGCGCGGCAACCGATATCTACCTTATTAGTGACTTCTTAGCAAAACCTTTTCCAGCCTAACAATCTGTAGAAATCGTAATACTGTTTAGAATGTCTGATCAAATCAAAACAGACAATAACAACAGGGAAAAATTACTACAAATGAACAGGTTGCGATCCTAAAGTTCGAGCATTTGCAGCATGTTATATGATATCCCTATTGCTATTTGCCCTTAGAAGTCTAGTTTGCCTTCAGTAGTATATGTTTGCTGAGCCCTAATTTGAATTCCACAAGAGCTATTTCGATTGAGCTGCTCAATTTCCATTCAGAATTTGAGCTTTTTAACACTCAAGGGCACGCTATTATCAGGGCCCGACACGAGGGTGGCAAATGCCAAGCTAAAAACCGTCTTAGGGGAAAAGCAAAGAGGGACATCGTGCCCTATTTTCAAAGTATAAGCGACACCTCTTTGCTCTAAACGCGAGCAGACCTAAGCGTGCCGCTACGCATGTGTCTCGCGAAGCGGTCGCTTTTTGCTCTCACTTAACCCGCCCCATGGTGACAGGAAGTTTTACGGCATGTTCGCCTTTAGAGCAAATAGGATGCGGCTTATACCCCTGAAAAATAGGGTAAATACAATTTTACATGTACATACACTCTCTAACAATTTGCTACATGACTGACATGTAGGAACAAGGTCGCGCGTCACCTTCGAAAATCCCAATTCTTTCCCAAGTGTGTAATGGAATGCCTTGTTTACAGCGCACACATAACGATCTGACTACTATTTTGAAGCACAAACGGATAAGAGCTAGGAGGAGCAAAGTGCAAAGTATTATGGAAAATTTATATGGAAGGCTGAGGCAAACTTCTTTTTTGAAAACTTTCCGCCACAAAAAATGAAATAATGACTCGTTTTCAACGCACATATGACGACATAGCACGAAATGCGGTGTGTACATGCGCAGTGGGAGTAAGGAACAGAGCATGACGAATTATGAAAAGCTTAGTGGATAAAAACTTTTTTTCCCAAGTGAGGTGGGCAATTGCTTACCTGATGCTCACCTGAAATGGGCAAACTTCCATTTCACTTAAGTCTCTCAAAATTCCTAGATGTAAATTCCTACATATATCTGTTCTACACCTAATGTTTACTATCTATATTAGGTCCGAAAGTCTTTTCGTTCTTTCAACCTATCATAGAACCACGTGGAAGTAAGGCAGTCAAATGTTCCCGAGACCATCCGATGCAGCTTTCATCCTCTTTTTAGAGGTTATGTTCTTTCGCTAGTTACTCTTGTGGCCACTAAGATAATCGCCGAGATTTCGAACCCATGTTTTCTGACACGTCCACCTTTGACAACTTTTCAAATTGTCAACTATTTGACAGTTCTTCAATTTTTTGCAAAGTTTTTATATTGAGCTTGGAAGAGCTTCTAGCTGTAGATAGCGTAAACAAAGCGCAACGCAGTGCAATTTTTGGCATCTCCAATTGGCTTCTCAGTGTTTTTTGATGTAACTTTTCCGGAAGCCTTCATTTTTGCGAAGTCGCAGAATACACAAATGATCCAAATACTAATAAATCTTCGGAATTTGAAAGTTTGGAAGATCGATTATGGTTATACATCAATTTTATAAAGCAACTGAGCGCTTACGATGCTCCAAAATATCTTTCGCATTTGACGGATACAGGCTGCGGCGGGTTCAAAATTCTGAAAAGCCTCCATAAGTGCTTGAAAAGTTGCACTGTATTACGCTTTGTTTACGCCATCTGACGGCTAATAAAGCTTTCTCAAAAGTTTAGAAGGAAGATATCGAAAATTCACCAAATTTGAACAGGAAAAACCATGGGTTCGAAATCTCTGCGTTATTTTAGTGATCACAAGAGTAACCAGCGCATGACTGAGTGCATGAAAGAGGAAAAAAAAGCTGTATCGGATAGTTTGCCTGCCTTTGTTCCAGTCGTTTTTGATAGACTAAAACGGATAGAACTTTCGAGACGATCTAATATTAGCATTCTGCTAGCAGCAACGCCGGTCTTTTTGAGGGGAAAGCGCGCTTCAATTGAACAATACACGCAGGTGGCGCGATCAAGTAGGATTCGCGAAAATTGCAAGTGGCTAAGACGAATTCGTTTCACAGGTGTCCATTTCCTACCCTCGTGCCAGGACCTGGCTATTATTGCTCGACTGTATTAGGTTCTCACCACTTGAACATAAACTATCTCTAGTAACATTCAAGTACCCTGACTTCACGCTGTAGGACGCAGGGGGTTTTTTTTGAATTCAAACAGCACAGACACACCGAAGGACTTCGCGACCCAAAAACTATATACACTGCTACATATTGCTCAAGGGTATCGTGCTGCATAAGTCTCGTTTTCCGAAACACAACGAGGCGGCTGAGCGGCACGCTTGAATAACCGAAAAAGGTGCGTCTTATAGCATAAAATTAGGGCGGTTTTGACAGAGATTACCTTACACTCTCATTCTTGACTTATTTTTTCTTATTTATATGAGCCCATGCACTGGAGTGATCAGAGGCATACTAGTAGTCGGATGCTTGTATCCGTGATTAAGATCAGAGTTTTGCATTGGGTTTTTACGCAGTATTACTTGACTACTTCCCACTTTGATTATGTGCAAGTGGACGTCCCTCTCCCTCCAGGCTATTCAGGATGCACAGCGAATGATGGGTGTGCTCCTCTCTGAGAATTCAGTAACTAGAGGCGTCCTGAAAGTGTCTGCATCCTACCTAAGTTCAAACTCTGTCTGGAAAAGGGCGGGCGGGGGATGAAGTTGTTTGGCTCAAAAGAATATTTATGACAATGTTGCTGCAGAAAAAATGCAGCATCCGAATTCACCGTTGGTCCGATTCTTCAGTTAGCCCTTCGAAAGGAATAATTCACAGAAATTCTAACCACTCTCGCCCTTTTTATTTCCTTTATTCTGCTTATTGTTAGACGTTTCCTGTAAGTGGTCCTTTACATAGAATGTGAACGACTGCCACGAATTGAATACCTTGGAGATCCTTGCTTTTGGGGAAAATTTGAAATCATATGCGATGTACATAATGTAACAGATTACAGAATTGTTGTATTTTCAACCATACTGTTTCGGTAACTTCCTTATTTTTTCTTTTGCTTTTAGTTCATCTTCGCTTCTTTGACCAAACACATAATTTTTATTGTTTATTTAGTTATAATAAACGAAAGCCAGGACATGTTGAACGAACGCGTCACGACGTAGGCGAAGCTTCAAAGACTTCGCCTGAAAGTGGCATTGAGGCATAAGCAATACATACATCGCCCGGAACACACACACAATGTGATTTGCTAAAGATCGCTACCTGATGTCTGATGATGATTATCGATTACAAACGGAACTGTATCGATAGCTTAGAACTCGGATTAGGATATGTGGCTCAATAGTTTAAAACGAAGGGTGCAGCCACACATGCAACCCGAGATGTTGAAACACAACACACTCCACGAACTAAACACATTAGAGCTGGCAGTGAAGAAAGGGCAGGACAATAAGACCGATCATTTTTCGTGAGCCTAATAACCAGGAGCCGTACGAGGTGGTGGGCAGTGATCACAGCCGCCGCTTGGTCCACGATCACCGTCGGGTCCAGCTGGACCGACAGGTCCTGGTTGTCCGGGTGCTCCAGGAGCACCGTCATCACCAGGTGGTCCGGGTGGGCCGTCTTGTCCAGGGTTGCCATTAGGTCCGGGCTGTCCTTCTGGTCCAGGAGGTCCGGGCGGTCCGGGTGGTCCAGCGGGTCCTTCGGGTCCGGGCACTTCAGTGAGTTTTCCAGGTGCTCCAGGTGCGCCGGCATTTCCTGGGGGTCCGTCTGGTCCTGGAGGTCCGGGTGGTCCAGGAGGTCCAGGTGGTCCACGGCTGCCTCCGTCAGCATCGGCTCCAGGTGCTCCGGGTGGTCCAGGTGGTCCCTTAGGTCCTGGATTTCCAGGAGGTCCAGCAGGACCGTCAGGACAGTCGAAGCAGAACTCGTGTTGTGGTGGCGGTGTAGCGGTAGGTCCGTCAGGGCCGTCCTTTCCGGGAGCGCCTGGTTCACCATCGGCCCCAGGTTCGCCATCGGGACCAGGTGGTCCGGGTGGTCCTTGTGGGGATACTCCACATCCGCAGCAAACTCCTTGTGGTGCCGTTTCAATTGCACCTTCTACACCTGCAGAAGAGTAGCCGGCCTGACGACGATCCCTTCGTACGGATACCTTGGACAATACCTGAAATAGAAAAACTTATTTGGAAGTATCACCTTTTAGAAGCTTTATTGGCCTCGGTTGCAACCCTCATGCACTTTACCAACAACATTCTCCGTTTCTAAGGATCGAATTTCTTTTAAAGGAATTCGGTAATAGTTCGAGAATACTCTTGAAAGATCGGGAACTTGCCACAGAAGTTCGCATAACTTAGACGACAAAAAGTGTCAGCAATCCTATCAAGCCGTTTTACAACCTCAACTTCGTCCGTTTAGAACTTTTCCCCGGCTGCGTCCGAGGGTAGAGGAATTCGTATTAGCCACTGCACGTGTTCTTACGTAGTCATAGCCAGTTTGAAGCCGGATCTACGATCATCAATAGAACAGGATGATAGCAATTATAGAGTAGAAGTACACGTTTATGATAATATGTCTGCCTGGACGGAATTGCGGGAACTGATTAACTAAGCGACAGTGGGCCATTTCGATGACGACGTCTTGATTATCCTTACGTCAACAACCTGTTCTAGTGAAGAGATTTAACTCACCTAGGTCCTTCTGTAAAACTGAAGTGAGTCCTATGGAAGAATGATTTATCGTTGAAGTCGTTTCCCCCTCTTCCCCCACTTGATTCGAAATTCATCGGAAAATATATTCGAGTTTCACCATGGCGCTGTCATTCAGGGATGCAATTAGACTTGGAACAAGTTTCGAAAGAAGCGCAATAGATGGGTGGGGCAGGCAATATGCAATTGGAATGAAATCATAGTGGAAAATTGTATGAATCAATAAGAAAGACAAAAGTTGGTGAGAAACTAGATGCGAAAGCGGGGGTTGGCAATTCTGCTATAGGAAAATTGTAAAGCAAAGCCTGGTACCATGTGAAGGTGTATGGCGGCGTTTTTTAAGGGATTGAAAACCCATTAAGACTAGTATATTTTTACAAACTTTCATTTCTACTAGTTCCTAGCACAAAATTTCGCCTCGTAACCTTTCGAACTCTTAACCTCAAAAGAACAGTCCACAAATTAAAAAGTGGAAATCGAGAGAATGAAGCAACTATTTACTTACGGTTTTCTCAAATATTTGAATATTGTAAAAGGTGAAAAGATGGAAAGGTGAATCGATCAAAACACAACGGACGCAACGAACAGATTATTTTTGTTTTTTCATTATATGACTGAGCATTGTTTGTGCTCAGTTTCTGGCAAGCTGCCCCTGTACGGGACCATCACTAGTACCCACCAAAAATCTACAAAAAAAAGGTTTACATGCCGAGATTATCATGCAATCCAAAACTTTAACCTGAGCTTTTCTTCTAAAAATTGGAGAACGCCCCTTAGACCTTAACGCGAGGTTTAGAGCTTATTCGGGTTCAGCGGACGTGATTCGTAGAATCTGGCTTGATCTGATCTTGGGGAAGAAAGCTGATTTATCTGAGTAAAGACGGGAGCAGAACAACCTAATGTGATGTTATCAAACAGGATAAATGCGGTTCGAAAAAAGATAAGCGCTTCAGATAAAGATCAACTTTTGTTTTGATGAGTTAAAAATTGAGTGCATTTGCTTCTTTGCGTCTATCTCCACCTTTCCGGATTTCCCAAGTGCAATGTCTTCGATAGGCATATGCAAATGCGCACGCTTCCAACCTGAAGACATTGCACCTGTATGTGTGTTTGTGTGCCTATTGAATACGTTATATGTATAAAACCTGTCGTCGTCATTTGCGTATCGCAACACAATACGTCGTTTAACTGAGCGTTGAATACGATTTTGTACGTATGTACGTACGTACATATGCTGCCTGTGCCGGTTTACCTCGTCGTCCTCTCACAGCTAGATGCGCGCGAGGCAATGAGGCTATCCAACCACGTCCACACAAACGCTATTCTTTCATACATCCTTAATTACCCAGTCGGAGATTTGGATTGTGGACAAATGGTGGTCCTGAGGTGTTTGATGGTGATGGTAGTGTTGATGTGGATGGTGTTGCTGGAGGGGATGGTGTTGCTGGTGTGGATGGTGTTGTTGGTGGGGATGGTGTTGCTGGTGTGGATGGTGTTGTTGGTGGGGGTACTGCTTGTGGGAGTGGTAGTGCTGGTGGTGGCTTTTTTGTGGTGATAGTGTTGCTAGTGGTTTTGGTAGTGATGGTAGTGCTGGTAATGGTGGTGGTATAGAAGTGGCAATAACGCATACACTTGAATGTGAGGGATGGTTATTTCCGGTACTCGTTCGGCAATTGAGTGACCATTATTACATCTTACGATAGGGAGAAGTGAGGGGGGGGGGGAGAGGGGGAGGGGGAGGAAGAGGAAAGCTGGCTGCCGAAGGAATGCAAAGTGCCACTTTTTCTGAAGCTTTGCTAGCCCAGAATAAGCTGCCAAAACTTTTTCAATGCAGCCCTGCTAATCGGCTTAGTAGAGATAGAAAGCGTCATCTCAGGTGAAAATCCCGCGAAGTAGCGAATTTGAGTTTGTTTGCTCAATGTCCTTGCTATGACTCAGTGTAGTTTGCGAAAGTTCAGTTATGGCCTATCGAGTAGTGTCCCAGATAGCCTATATCATTTTCAAGGTTGCGAATGGGTTTCCGGTGAAAAAAGAACTTCTAGAAAATCACCTTACGAGCACCACGATTAGCACACCGAGTGAACAAAGATAGCAGAGAAATTATACTCACTATCTTGACCTCTTACCGCATGGCCACCATGACCTTACAGCAACGACGCCATTGTTGCAATAGTGCAAAACCCTTGTGGAAACTTCTACTTTTTTCAAATTCAAAAACGCGAAAGTCAGAATAATTTGCGCGAAAACTGTACGGCATTTCCAATCATCAGAACGACCAATTTTTCCTTTTTAGAAATTTTCCTGTACAGCCTCTCAAACCGAAAGATTTCGTTGTTCGTAACATACAAAACCTTTAACATCCCCTGGGCTGTGAGTGGTCATAGCTGGGAGGAGTAGGAAAAAACAATTCATGCATCTTGGAATATCGGAACCGAAGCTTCCCTTTTCCCGCTCCCAAACCCATAAAGTGATTACGCTACTGTGGTTTATTTTTTACTTTGCGGGAGTGGTTTCAATCTTCAAAGGCTTTTTTTTTGTTTGCACTCAGAATCGCTACCTGGCAATTTTCTTCTCGAAAGTTGACAAATCTGGTATTTGGAGCGTTGAGATTAGTCAGCAATAACCTTGGAATCTCAATTATAAAAGATTGGAGAAGGTGGTGGTGGTGGTGTCTGACGCATAGTGAAACGTACGCAATTACACGAAAAACCTGGAATTGAGCAAATCGGGTGAATGTGTTGCGCGCAACCCGGAACTGATTTTTGTGGATGAAATTAGTCATTCTGGTAGACCTGTTTTTTGTTTCTTATCGACAAATTATTTGAATTTAAAATGTTTTGTGTTTGTAATTTAGAGCATTTTGCGTATCCCACCTGTATCGTCAATCGAGGAAATTCAGAGATTTTAAGTGTTCCCCTCCCCCTCCCCCTCCTTCCGCGCCTCCGATTATGTGTGGAATTTTCCTACAATAGCACCATCTCGCACTATGAAAACGTCAAAGACGAGAACCTCTTGACATCGACGACAGGAAATGATTGACCTCCTAGAACATGTTTTTCTTCTAACCGATGCTAACCACTGAGGCTCGAACTGTGACGAATTTTGAAGAAAATGTAAACTTGTCACCGATTGCTCATTAGATATTGCTCGCGATTTGGGTGGAAATTAATGATTTTGTAAGTTGTGGAAATTTGAATATTTGAGCAGAAGTTTATGCGAAAAAACCATCATGTAATTTTTTTATGGAAGCGTTGCGTGCCGTTTCTGAAGGTAAAACATATCATTTAGTATTTACATTAATATACCAAGATATTCAGTACTATATGTAATTTTGTAATCCTATGTCGCTTCCTATTCCAAAAGGGCAGGGACTTTTTACTGCGACTCCTTAGCGGGTATCAAATGGAAAATTAAGGTGAAACTTGAAGTGAAACTTCAATACCCTCCGCAGATCTAATTTTATGCGAAAAAAGAAGAATCTTATTTGATTTCGTTCGCTCAAATTTCTTATCAATTGCTTAAGTTTCCTACTCAAAGTAATTAAGTTCCAAATATTGCAGAAACTATGTGATAAGTTCACTTTGATTCTTAACATTTTTAATTTTTCATAATTCTAATTTTGATAGATTTTGTCTACCTATGAGCAAAAGTACTCATTCAATGCTCTGCAACCACACATCTTTTTTTGAAATCAATATAAGCTATTATAGGGTGAAAAGGCACTTGGTGCAGTTACACAACGTACACAATTTCTAGTGAAAAGTCACGCCGAAAAGATCAGAATTTTGCAGAAAGCATACGATAATTTTACAATATTTAGGAAAGGAAGATCTAGGGAGGGGAATGTCTTGAACCATACAGAGATCAAAACAAATACATCATTTGTTATTTGGTTACTTTGTAGCCCTTACTACCTCTTGCCCTTCTCTCACCTCCTTTCCTTTCGCTTTCTTCCCGCTCGCAGTACTTATGTAAAATTGCCTCGTGCCTAAGTTATTACCTTGCGCAAACGCCCGAGGTCAACAAGAATAGAAGAAAAAGCAGCGAAAACAAGTGCGCTGTTTGTCCGCAATTACAGAGAATCTCCTCAAGCAAGCTATTTACGACACTTTCCTCGTTCTGCGCTACATCGCGATGATGTAAGCATGCGTTACCAGTTCTCAAGCGCTTGCATTCCATAATAGTAGCCAGGCACGATAACAATCTTAGCGTGAATAATATCCTAATCTGGCGTGGATATTCATCTCCTTCAAGTATGATGCATGAATGTCTGCGCTTTGTGTGCGGTGTGTGTATGTGTGGTGTAAATTGGCGTCAGTAAGTCAATTCGAGAGGAACGGCGATCGCAATCGACGACGACGGCGACGCGATGACGACGAACTCGTTCCATGAGGTTGTTGGCGAGCATTCAAACACACACAGCCCCCCCCCCCCCTCCCCTCCAGAAACTGGTCGTCCTCAACGATGAGGTGCTGGTGCCTTCTCAAATCTCACTAGAGCCATGTTTAATACCTTGAGTAATTGCCGCCCAAATTGGTAATATAGCGCGCTAATTACGGTGCTGAACCGGTGGTTTATGCGCACAGGGAGGGGAGGAGTGGAAATGGGAACGAACTTCTGGAATCTCTCTAGCAAGGCAAGACTTAAATTAGCAAACCGAAGTATGCTACTTTGTACGACTGAGTTGAGCGAGTCAATGGTGCAGTTGCACAAGAACACTGCTATTTAGGTGTTAATCAGATCAAAAAAGAAGTTTTTCCTTCAAAGCTAATCCTATCAGTGGAGAAAACAATCGATTAACAATCCATACATAGCGCTGAACCATAAAAGTGTGCATCTCCTTAAAAACTCAGTAGTAAAAAATGATTCCGCTTTAAAGTAACACTAAACATATTTTTTGTATTGAAAAAGTTGACAGCAACCAGTGGTATAAGGATCAAGGTGTGGCTCTGGGGCTTCAAAAATTTTAAGAGGAAATCGATTGTAGTGTCAAGAAATGTGACTATTGATCTCTTCTCAAAAATATCACAAATACACATTTCTGAAAATTTATTTTGCAGTTGCAATGCTCACATTTCATAGTTGGAACTTTCATTTCCACCGTCGCTGTGCCATACTACATCAGTATTTGTTTTTCTGAAACTTCAGCAAAAAAATGTGAAGATATGTTTGCGCTAAAATTTCCCTCAAATCATAGCATGTCTTCTAGAAACGTTGCCTCCTCAAAGCAAGCAATCAGATCTATGTTTTCTTCGAGTCGCCGCTTTTCACTGTCATATAATGGGGCACTGGGACGGACATTGCCCGCTGATGCCCCGAGTGTATAACTGGGTTTATTGGTTGTATGCAGTGAGGATGTATAACCAGAGGAAGAATTAGGAGGAGCTATCTTGGCGGGGGGGGGGGATAATATAAGGAGGCGGAAAATAAATGGGAAATGCAGTAAGCTATTAAAGGAATGAAAACTGTACACGGAGGTTGTTTATAGGGTTAGAGAGTCAATCAGGCTTTACCACAGGACATTTGTTACCTATGGTGATATCGTCAATATTTTTGAGTAAGTTTTTCCACAAAGAAGTTCAGTGGAAGAAAGCAAGGTAGGGAAACACAAAAGATTATAAGCTAGGCCTACCCGTAGGAAAGCTTACATTGCATTTTAAAAGGCATGTTTCTGTGATGAAACGATGAAAAATAAGAAGGTAAATGGAAAAAAACGTCGACGAAATTTGCTCAAGCTAATGAGTGTTAAATCGAAACATGAGATTTTTCGATGACAAAAATACCGTCATGTACCAACTTGACTTTAATAGAGCTTCAAGCCTCATGGTTTCATACTTAAAAAAATCGCGCAAGCTTCAAGGGATTATGGAATTTATAGAAGTTCATCACACGAATCTTCTCAGATTAGAAACACCCATCCACTTATTATCCAGCCCCCGTTCGCAAGCTTCCCTTAGGCATCCTAGACATCTTTAGCCATTACAATGCACGCACGCGAGACACACCTGTTTCTTTGCAATTGAATTGCAGCGCAAATTTTTTTCAACCGTCTTCCCCTGCAACTAATCCAGTCTTATCTGTGATTCAAATGACAAATCAAATCGCAATGGATACGACGAAATATCCCCGTAGATCTGCGTAACAGCATCGCCGTCTCTGTGAAGAAATTCTTCAATGTAATTGGATCGTGCATACATGCATGCACACAATGATGTTTTTGCCTATTGGAAAACTCGCTTCGTGAGATCGGCCAATGGTGGTGATGGTGGTGTGGTGGTGCTGGTGGTGGGGCGTACTACAGCTTCTGCTGGTGGGTGGCGGTAGTGGTGGTAGTGCTGGTGATGGTCGTGTAGTGGATCCATGCTGGATCCATGGAATGCAAGATGCTATGCATTTTTTTCCCATCATGGATTCCGGATGAAGGCAACATTCCAGAGGAAGATTTGATATGGCGAATTAGCACTAAAGCCTAAGGCTTGATAAGTGTGACATTGCGCCTTTTTTGCGACGAGCTCGAATATATAGCCTTGCCCAACAACTTTAGGTTTTGCTTATCCAAAAATGGTCATGCTGACAATCGCTTAAGAAATGCGATACCAGAAATTGCGGGAAAATCCAGTTCTAGAGGGCCGAAACCATTTCGTAAAAGGAGCTTGCGCCACTTTCTTTGAGAAATAAAAAGTTGATTCAAAGGATGTGTAATATATTGGCGTAAAAATATTGAAATATTCTTGAAAACTTATGATTACTTGAATCTCAGGAATGCTCTCCGCAGTAATATGAATTAATGTCTTTAGGAATGAAGTATAATTTCTTTTGCGGGTTGCAACTGTTACGAATGATAAGAGTTGCGAGAATCTCGACTTATACTGCCTAAAATAAAATTTTGGATTGTGCGTAATTTTACAACTATTCAGATTCTTGTGTTTTTAACCGGAAGCTTTTCTGAGAATTCTGCATTGAGAAAAAGGGGTGCGAAAGTAGAGGTCAGTGCGAAAAAGTTTACAAAAATAGATGCAAATCTTTGCACTCTATCCATCGCAAAAGTTCGATCATCAAACAAGCATTTGGAACTGACATGCTTAGATGTGATCAATTACACAATCGCGGGTGGTGCGCGTGTCCAGTTTTTCTTGTTTCCAAAGGTCACACACACAAATTCTAATTTATTGTATCCAACGCGCCTTCACGCTGTCATCCTCATTTCACTCTCTCAAACACGGAAAGTACATTCCAGGATAGAGGAAAAAGAAGATGTCCTTCCAGCGGAGACACCAACACCAAACACGAGAAATCTTGAAGTCTTGCCAAAGTTGGCTTGACTTCATCATGATGCTGCCGTTTTTGTAGACGTGCTGAGTCATAATCGGGCGGCGACGAGGCTGCTACGAGTACCTTTCTGGCATTCTCTCATATGAAGCGAGGAACTTGAAATGTCAAGATGATGGGTCGAGATGGTGCCGAGACGCACACCACCAACCACAACCACCATGCTCATACACATACACATACACATACACAAACGTACTCTTCGTTGCCGATGGCAATTATCGCTCATCGCCCTCCCCGACAATCGCATAAACACGTTGTCGGTTCCATGCTTTGAGAGCTGCACAACAATTAAAGAACTCTTGATAGCCACGCCCCTTTTGTGGACATATATTCTCACCATCCCACAGCATGAAAAAATATCTCTAGTAAAAAAATCGTTCCGCAATTGTGAAACAAATATGGAAGTTTTTCTCTCCGTTTTCGCCACATACCATTTTGAGCCCGAGTCCTTGAGCGTTTTTCATTTCTTGCTGAGTATGATTGTAATAACAAGCCCCTCTTCCGCACGAAAAATCGTAGCAGCTAGCTGCGCAAGGGTGAAATTACCATTCACGAAGTTCATGACGTTGACTAGTTGACCTGACATTTCGTCAAATAAAAACTTCCCCATCTAGTTTAGCGCTAAAGGACAACGTTCTAATTTGATAGTCGTGCTTCTGTAGTACAATTAACTCTTGACTCTGTTTTAGCGTTGTGTGCAATGATCTATTTGACAGCTAAAAGTAAAGCAACAGCGACACAGCATCAGGTTACGCTATGTTGCGTGTAGTGACCATGATAAGCAAGAAAAAACAATGCCAAACGGGTTTGATTTGGTGTTTTATTGCGCTGATATACTTTGATATAGAAAGACTGGCATACACAATACTGCTTCAAATTTAGGCTTTTAACTTCTAGTGCACGAGAAGCGAAAGAAGTGTTGCGCTAGATGTATCACTATATGTATGTTCGATCACTATGATCAAAGGATCTATGCAAGTTAAAGAGTTGCATAAACTGATAGAGTGCTAAACTGCCTTACCCAATAAAAATTGCACAGGGTGGATGTCAGTTGTCACACCTCACATAGATCAAAATAGATGCAAATTCTCACAAAAATCTTTGTAACTCAATAAGAAAAGCGCGCATTACTGCAATTTTTCGAATTGAATTCTTTTCAAGCTGTAGTACGCTGATTGCAACCGATAAATTGAGGTGAGGGACCACAAATTGCCCAATGAAGATAGCTATGGAAGTGTCCTAGCACGATATGCAATAGAACGTGAAACAGTACGTATTGATTGAGCCTATGCATTCTCTCGAGATTATGGTCCCCAACTACTCATTTATCACTATTCTTATTTTTTAAAACATAAAACGTGAAATTGCATTGAATCTGAGCACACCCACCTGTGTACGAGTGATTTCCCGCCATATGTTACCCGACCGTGATTTGCAGAAGTCCACTTCACTCTGCATTATTGACTGCATATGTTGCATATAATTGTAGAGCAATGGCACAGAAACCACACAGACCAATGTTGCTACCGTTGATATGGCGACGCCCACAAAGGCCACCCTAGAAATGGATTCGTTTGGTAATCATGCTAAGCATGCCAATATGTGGTGAAGCTGGCTGACGATTTGACAAAGACAGTAATCACCTGTGCGGTTTTATTTGGATACGTTTGCGAATGACTACTCACTCACAAAGTGAAATAAATGCGAAGAACCAGTTTTGAAAGATAGGTATTAGAATCGAAAGGAAGTGCAGGTAAGGTTTTTCATCACTTTTGAAAATGGCAGAATTGCAAACGCCCTTGAAAGATTTGCGATTTTTGGCACTTGACCACTTTTTGCTCAAACGTTGTGCTTGAAAGGCACAAGCTGCAAAATGATAAACACTTATTTTACGCATTAAAGTCAAGCTATTCCAACAAAAAAAGTGAGCAATCTCATAAATCAGCTTTGATTTTGTTAAGGGCGAATTCTTATCAAAATTACTAACCAGGTGACTCGCATTAGTTAAAGCTAAACCAGCAATTATAAAAAATAGTTAAATGTTGAGTTGGGTTGACGGTGAACAAATTGCTAAGAATCAAGTAGAGTAATCAACTAAAAAATTGCTACAGAGGAAACAAAGCTGTACAGAATAATGTACATAGGTGGAGTTTACAGTTTCTAACTTTTCCAGCAACCTCAAATCCAACAAATTCAATAAGTGAGTTTTTGACAAATACCGTTACTAATTCAGGCATAACATTGATGAATATGAACGCTTTATAATGGTATATCTCACACTTTAGCTCTTGGAAATCAGGCGATAAGCAAGGAAGAGTTAATAGACAAAACTGATAGACAGTAAGAGTTACCTTCGGAGCGTGACAGCCTCAGCTTCGAGCCGTTTTACGTCGTCGTCCATCATCGCTGAAGGTTTGACGTAGACGGGGTGCTTTTATACTCCGCCCTCAGCTCGCAGACGTTCGCGCAGTCGACTCCGCCCACTTCGGAAAACACAACACGTTCAAACAACGGGTCGAAGCCTCCTTGTTCAAAACATCACACGTGCTCGGAGAGACAAGCAATTATTGTAGATTTGCGTTTCTTTCTCTTTGAATTCTCTGAGGTGACAATGTTGCTCAGATTAGAGCGAAGTTTTTACAGCTTAGCTTTCGTCAAAATTGCCCAGTGTTCTTTTTCCAACGTTTGCGGCGAATATGCTAATTCCATCCAGCTAACGATCCACTCAGCTACAAATGAACCGCTTTGAAGGAACGCGTTCAATTTCGTAACACACCGTTGGTGTAATTGCGCTATCAAACTACTGGGACGTTCCATTGCATCCAAGTGTTTGTGTGATTTTCCTACATCAAGTCTATATCAAATGCCACTGTTTTAGACTTCTTCGAATCTAGTGCAACCTGCAAGTGATATATCAACTTGGTCATGGCCGTAAGGATTTTCATTGTTTCGTATAAGTCCACTTCAAGCTTGCTCTTCCGAAACCAAAGCAATTGTTTGCTGTGTCGGATCTACAGTCACACATGATCGACTTTAGTGCTCAAAAAATTGACGCTGAACAATTGATAGATAGATTGTACAACACGTATACATAACAAAAACTTCCTGATTTTCTTAAGCAGACCATATCTGTGCAAACGCATTTGTACTCCAGTAAAAAACTTTCTAGTTTTTCAGGCTTCATCCACGGCTGTCAAGGATTATGGGATATAGCCAAGCATCAAGAACATACAGGTGCTAGAAATTAATACTCTAACAACATTAAAAATCAATGAATAACTCCCTAGTAGCACTTGGAAACGGGAACGAGTTTGAACAAGTTTAGCCGTGAGTTTGTTATTCTGGGATAACTCTGTACACTTCAAATTTATAAAACACACTACAATTAAAATGAAAACAATTTGAGCTTAAGTTTGACTTAGACGTACTCCTTGAATTGAGCTCTCTTGTGGCCACTTGGAACGAAATGACAGAACTATTTCTTGTATACGTAATGCTAGGTAGAAGAGGAATGAAGTCAAGATGTGCGAGATGAGAGGCAGCACTGCATTCTTAGAATATATGCAAAATATCTTTCGTCATTCTTAGCGGTCAAGAGAGAGATACACGCCAAAAGCACTTGAGCCGAATCGCCAGCGGGTTTCGCGCTGCTTCATGCAGCAAACATGCATCATTGCAGCGCATCCAAGCTCTCAAGGAGCAGGCATCCATAGATGCTAGTTTCATTAAACCACAAGACGTACTTGGAAACGAAACAAAGTGCGTGAAATGGCTGTGTGAGAATGTCTGCGAAGTTCTCCTTCGGTGAAAATACGATGTCGTTACTGAAGGGGTTGGCCAAAAACAATGTAGCTGCAATCTACTGATGTATGGCAACCATCAAAACAAAACCTCACCTGCAGTTCTGAGACAAACCTTTTACTTTTAACGAAAGATCAGTTCTGTAACCTTATCCTATGCCCAAGTGTCTTACTCGGAATAAATCTAAACTGCAAATTATGTACTTTTCTACAAGCTTTTCTACTTTGACTTACACAGCTCTTAACACCAACGCAACCCAGCATTTATAGTTGTAGGATGCATTCTTCTAATTGCGACCTGTACAGATTCGCTGGACATTGGTGCGCAAAAACAATACACACGATCCATTTCATTCACTTTTTTGGTGTCGATTTCGCCTGGTCATCGTGTTATACGTTTCATATACGAAATAATTTCCACTTCTTTAGCTTGATGATGCTGTTGGCCTTCAACTTCTTCAGGATTTTGTTGCTGCAATGGTCATCGCAGAATAATTAGCACATGCATGGCTAAACAAGTGAAATTCGATGGCAGGATCTTCCGGCTTTGAGCTTATTTGTTCATTTAATAGAGGATTGGAACATTGTTCATATTAATAGGGAACTGTGTCTTACGAGGGAAGGATATTTGGTCGAAAGCGTTTTCATATGAGCTGTATAATGCTTCATAGAGCTTGGAACTTATTCCAAATCTGCTTTTGGTATCTGCAAAGCTCTACTGGGAAGGGAGTTATGGGAATCACTTGAAGCAAAGATGAATTCGCGCGGCTACACCAAAATCATTAGGTACTGTATAATATCCCAATTGAGCTCTGTGAGCTCAATTGGGATATTATACAGTACCTAATGATTTTGGTGTACTTGTTTACTTGTTATACTTGTTTCGGCTGTGATATTATGATCACAGCCGAAACATTTTATGCATTTAATACCTTTAGTGAAATAAGTTCAAGCTGATCACTACTTCTTTCAAACCGGAAAAAAGCTAGCTAGCTCTATACTTGTATTTACCTTAGCCAAACCCTTGAATTTTGCCTCAAACCTCTCCCCCCCCATGACTTTGCAGAAGTCTTAAGCCGATTTTGAATCAGCCTCCCATGCTTTATAAGACAGCGCACATTTTACATAAATACTCCACTTCGACCAAGTGTCCTTCCCATATTAGACATGGGCTGCTGAATCTACCTTTCAAGTTCATATGTGCGCGTTCTGAAATCTCTGTGAGATGGGATATGTGTACACACTGTATGATTCAGGCTATATCAGCAGTATTGACAATCTTTCTATATCAGCAGTATTGACAATCTTTGTCGGAAACGGTAGGGAAAGCTAGTTTTTTCATGCAATCCTAAGACTATAAAACTACCTACAGGTAAGAATATCTCGGTAGTGACCAAAGAACGGACAACGTATTTCTCAATAATAGAAGTCTTCTTTTGTGCTTTACCAAAGAACTGGTGTATAATTCAATTTATAGTAACTGTAGCTGGAACTGCAATTTTTGAGAACACAAGCTTATTATTTTTTCAAGAAGAATTTCATCTTTTCTCTCAAATATCGTCGTAACATTTCAAATGATCATATACGCAAAAAGCCATCAGATTTACTGGCAGTTCTTATGGCCAACGCAAAATAGATCTTGCACGTTTGTGTATTGCTGCGTATCTGCAACATCTTACATTCGCAGCTGCTCGACTATACCTGTGCCAGCGAATTATGTAATTGAGTCGGATGTGAACACCACCTACTCGACTGGTCAAGCTTGTCCTATAAAATAGATGAAGCCTCATACAATCTTCATCCAACGTTACAACTATCTTATTGTTTTCGTTCTCTCCGCGGAGCAACGTTTGGACTGGTTTGAATTTTTATACTCTGTCACACATATTCCCTTTATAGAATATAATTGCCCGTTTATATATTTCAGCATTGGTGGCAGATTCGCTTCTCGACGCTCTCTCATAATGGTTTACGGTGCAGTCTATCCGCTCTGATAACTGACAGGTAAGCTAATGTGAGTAACGTAAATAATCTTCATTTATGAATTGGAACTTCTAGCTCTAAAACACTTACCTCAATCACCTTCGAAATCCAAAATTCAAGTAACTTTTGGTTCTAGCATCTTCATCTCAGTCTCGATATCATAACAAAAATAACGATACCTCAGTATCTACGATTGTATTCTTCACCTTCAATCCTATTCACATATTTACTAACAGAAACTAGTCCCTTCCATCCCCCGACTGTAGCACCGGCGAATCTCAGCTGGTTGATACTTGAAGAAGCTACATTACAGCGAATGTACATACATGAAGGTAGCAAAAACGCATTGTAATCACATATCCTCTAGGGTTTGGAGAATTGCCTCAAATTGTAGTACAAATGTAATGTATTAGTGTAATGTGCTTTCGATTTTCTTCTAAGAAAGCTCACTTCGCACGGTAAGCTCCACTACGTCGCTGATAGCATTCATGCTTCAAACAGCAATGATTCCCGCATGCAGGTTGGATTGTAGTCAACGATCTCTTAAACGACACTATCGGAGACCGGACTTGGCTCCACACCACACTTTCACGTAAGGCAACACGTTTTGTTATGCGACCCTGAGTTTGAAATGACCTTGAAAGTTCAAGACGCATGCGAAGAGCCCACGGACGGGTATTATTGCAAAGAGGCTTACAATGTGATTATATCGTTGACCTCTAGAAATGCGGATAATCTGATGTTTTAATGTTGACTTGAGGTGCTATTGGCGGATCGTAGCCACGTAAGACTAAGATTCGCCGATTCCAGTTTGTCTACTTAAACCCATCAAGAAAAGACGAAGAATATACAAAGAACTTGCAAACAGAGCCAATAAACAACAAAATATAATACTTCCAAATGAGTGATATCTGTGCTCATCCAGCTACTAACGGATCGCTGCAAAAACTCTACCCGTATCTGTACTATTTGAACGGTCACCATTTTTGGAAGTATCACCATTTTTGCAAACATTGTTAATATTATCCAAAAGCTTTTCTCTTCGTGGTTTCTTCCAATATAATGTGTCTTTTTATATAGCCCTTTTTTTTGAGCTCCGATGCAACTAGAGAACAACAAAATAAGTGCAGCATTTTTTCTCTTTACTTCTTCTATGATAACTAGAGGTAAAAAACGTTTTCGTCAACATAAAAAACGTTTTATGTTGCTTGCTGGGGGCGCTGCTCCACATAATGCTTTCCGCGAAGTAATTCCGAATAATACTGCACCTAAGTTTTGGCAAAACATGACCTGTCATTGTAGTTCTTATGCGTCGCATAAAAGTCATGAACGTAGTGCGACTGCGAAAAATTGCTTGGTACAGGAGAAGTGTGTCCAGTACTTTCCCCGTAAAAAAAGAAAAGTTCCAAAAAACTTCAAAAATTTTTCAAGAAAAAAGGGCCGAAGTGCGAGGAGTTCGCTACTCAACCGACTGCTGGCTACGAAATGTGCGGATTTTTGCTATTCTACTGCTTCTTTTATCGAGTCATGGTTTGTAAAGTAAAGGTAAGCAGAAACAACTTTCGAAATCTTCAAGATTTCTGGCAGCTATGAATTTTTAGTGTACATAAAATTTTCAAAGACACACTCGCTATGATCTGTTTGGAAACAGTTATATGTCAATTCTATCCGCTTTCAAAGTATTGCAGTTTGAAAGC